CCGGCACGTGGGCCGCGGGCGTTTCCGCTCCGGCCCCGCCTGGCTGCCCACCGAAGCTTCGAGGCGGGCCGGAGCCCCGGGGAAAACCCCAAGACGGAAATCTAGAACCCTCCAGCCGGGTTCCACCAGCTCCGAGGGGAAGCCATGGGAGCTGAAGACGGGGCCTGACGGTGAGCACCCCGAGCGGAGTGGGGCGGGGGTGGGGGGCGCCGGTGGCCCAGCCGGCTGGGGAGGCCCAGGCCTGAGGTCCGCGGCTCGAGGCCGGCTCCGGGGGAGACGCTCATCTCCAACAGCCACAAGACGATGGCGGAGTGCCGGGCTCCAGCGGAAAAACCACAGGACAGCAGCGCCAGGGCCCCGAGCTCAGGCCCCATCCCCGACACCTCCCCAGAAAACAAGGCAGGAGGCCAGCGTGGAGACACACGCCTGCAACCCCCGAGCTCACGAGGCAGACGGAGGCTTGGGCGTTCGAGGCCAGCCCGGGACAGTCCGCGGGAGACGGCGTGCCTGCAGCCCGGTGGGGGCCCTCCGGGCCTGCGTCCACCCAAACAGCCTCCTAACACCGGCTCGCTGGTGTACGAAGACCACCACCACAACCTGGAACACACAAGTTCTCGAGAGAAGTACACCTCAGCCCCAATCCACGTCTTCCAGGAGGCTCGTTGCTCACCTGCCTTGTTCTCTCCCCGGGACGCCCACAAATGTGATATTCCAGGGCCAAGCAAACCCGCATGAAGGGGCTGCGAAGGTGGCTCAGTGGTCCAGTGCTCGCCTAGAAAGCATGAAGCCCGGGGTTCGATTCCTCAGCACCACATACACAAAAAAAGCTGGAAGTGGCACTGTGGCTCTAAGTGGTAGAGTGTTAGCCTTGAGCAAGAGAAGCTCAGGGACAGCGCCCAGGCCCTGATTTCAAGCCCCAGGACTGGAAAAGAAAAGAAAGCCTGTATTAACAGCATTTTTCATTGCTGCATAATCAATGTACTGTGCTATTATTGCTGTTGTACATTTTGATTCCAGCTTTGCATTCTAATCGGGTGTTCAGGTTTGTATGGTGTAACTATTCATGTCTTATCATTAGTGTGTGTGTGTGGGGAGGGGTACTGGGGCTTGATTCGGGCTAGCATTCTACCACTTGACCCACAAGTCCACCTTGGGCTTTTTTTTAAATACCAGTCCCAGGGCTTGAATTCAGGGCCTGGATGCTCCTAGCCTGCACTGAGCTGCTGTGCTCAAGTCTAGCGCTCTACCACCGGAGCCACAGCTCCCACTTCTGGCTTTTTTTTGGTGTTTAGAGCTGACAGTCTCACGGGCTTTCTATCCCCAGACTGGACTTTGAACCTCGATCCTCAGCTCTCGGCCTCCCCAGTTGCTAGGATGACAGGCATGAGCCACAGAGGCGCGGCTCGATTATTGTGTGACCTTTTTGCTGTGCAATAATTTCAGACGGACAAAAAGAATATGACAGGATAATATCGCGCCCAGTATCATTCATCGGGTCTCTGCCAGGAGCAGAGGCGTGGCTCAAGTGGCAAAGTGCCAATCTTGAGTGGAAAAAATGAGAGCTGCAGAGCGGCGCTTTTCTGCGTGCACCAGGGCCCCTCTTTTTGGCAGGACCCCGCTTGTCCTGACTAGTCTCCTTTGGTCTGTGCTCACTAAGTCTATATCACCACACAAGGCTGAAGACTGAGGGCATCACGGTTCAAAACCAGCCCTGGCCAATCAAATGCAGAAGACATTCATCTCCAGTGAACCAGCCAAAGAAAAAAGCAAAAAACCTGCTGTGGCTCAAGTGGTGGAGCGCCAGCCTTGAGTGTGCAAACTAAGCACGAGCAAGAGGCCCAGAGTTCAGACCCCAGCACCAGAATTCAAAACAGAACAAAAGCCAGGCGTCAGTGGCTCACACCTGTCATTCTAGCTACTCAGAAGGCTGAGATTTGAAGATGGAGGTTCAAAGCCAGCCCAGGGCAGGAAAGTCCGTGAGACTTTATCTCCAGTGAGCCAGCAAAAAGGTGGAGGTAAAGCTGTGGCTCAAACGTGGGGGGGGAGGGGTGGCTGGGAAGGTGGCTCAGTGGTAGGGCGCTTGCCTTGCATGCAGGAGGCCCTGGGTTTGATTCCTCAGTGCCACATAAGCAGAAAAAGCCGGAAGTGGCGCTGTGGCTCAAGTGGTAGAGCGCTAGCCTTGAGCTGAAGAGCTGAGGGACAGCGCCCAGGCCGAGTTCAGGCCCCATGACCACTACCACCAACAAAAAAAGTGGTAGGGGCTAGCTTTGAGCAAAAGAAGCTCAGGGCCGGCGCCCAGGCCCTGAGTTCAAGCCCCAGGAAGGCCTGTCCTCCCACAACAAGGCCATGAAACTTAAAGTCCTGAAATCACTGTTTTTTAGGGTGGAGTGAACACTGGAGCAGAGGGCACAAACTGTGCCTCAGTTTCCCTTTCAGCATAGTAGAAGGGGTGGCGCTGGGCTGCGTTGTCTCGTGTGGGAGAGAAGAGGGTGGAACTACTAGCTGCTAGTCCTGAACCCCGACTCCCCAAACAACTCCCCCCACTGTATGTGTGTGTGTGTGTGTCTGTCTGTCTGTCCATCATTCCCTCTGGAGGTGTTGGGCCTCCTGTGGCCCCACGGCAGGTGAGTGGCTTGAAAGACTCGTGGTTGGGGGCGGGGGGCGCCCACCCTGCATGAGCGGACCCCACGCGGGGGCCAGTGTCGTGTCCCCCCCCCCCCGCCGCCCCCCTGCGACCAGCCCCGCACCCCCGCATGGCCTCCGCCGCCGGCCTCGCCCGCTGCCTCCCTCCCCTGCTCGCCGTCCGTGGTATCTGGTTTTCCTTGTTGAGCTGCTGGCCCGGGGGCCCACCCCAGATCTCAGTGGGCTTGGGGGGGCCGGCCCCGCGGCCCCTCTGGGGTGTCCTGCCGGGCCGGGGGGGGGGGGGGGGGGGCGGAGACCAGGCCGCGGCCGCGCCGGCTGAGCCTCTTGTTCCCCCCTTTCTCCCCTCCCCCCTCCCCTCTTCCCCCTCCCCTCCCTCCGCCCTCCCCTCCTCCCCCCTTCCCCCCCCTCCCCCCGCCCTCCCCCTCCCCTCCCCCCGCCCTGCCCTCCTCCCCCGCTCTCCCCACTCCCCTCCTCCCCTCCCCTTCCCCCCGCCCTCCCACCTCCCCCTGCCCTCCCCCTCCCCCCCGCCCTCCCACCTCCCCCCTACCCTCCCCCCTCCCCCCCGCCCTCCCACCTCCCCCCTACCCTCACCCTCCCCCCCGCCCTGCCCTCCCCCTCCCCCCCGCCCTGCCCTCCCCTCACCCCCCGGCCCTCCCCTCCTCCCCTCTCCCCTCCCCCCTGCCCTCCCCCCCGCCCTCCCACCTCCCCCCTGCCCTCCCCCTCCTCCCCACCCTCCCACCTCCCCCCCCTCCCCCTCCCCTCCCCCCCGCCCTGCCCTCCCCTCACCCCCCGGCCCTCCCCTCCTCCCCTCTCCCCTCCCCCCCGCCCTGCCCTCCCCTCACCCCCCGGCCCTCCCCTCCTCCCCTCTCCCCTCCCCCCCGCCCTGCCCTCCCCTCACCCCCCTCCCCTCCTCCCCCCGCCCTCCCCCCGCCCTCCCCACTTCCCTCCTCCCCTCCCCTCCCCCCCGCCCTCCCACCTCCCCCCTGCCCTCCCCCTCCCCTCCCCCCCGCCCTGCCCTCCCCTCACCCCCCGGCCCTCCCCTCTCCCCTCCCCCCTGCAGGGCATCGAGCGGCTGAAGCGCAAGAACCACCCGCGGGCGCCCCGCGGCGGCTGGCGGTCGGTGGAGGCGGCCTTCGGGGGGCCCCCGTCCCCCAACTGGCTGAACCCCTTCTCGCCGGGGCCGGGCCGGCCGCGGGCGCCCGCGCGCGGGGACCTGATCCGCCAGCTGTCCTCGCTGTCGGACCTGGAGCTCGCGGCGCCCGGCGCGGCCTCGGCCTCCCCCGCCTCCGACTCCTCCTCCCCCGCCTCCGGCTCCTCCTCCCCGGCCTCCGCCGCCGCCTCGCCCGAGACCCCGCACCGGGACGCGGCCTCCGCGGCCACCTCGGCCGGCGACTAGGCGCCGCGGGCCGCCCCAGCTTCGGTAAAGACGCGCGCCGTGCCAGCCGCTGCCTCCCTCTGCGGCCGGGCGGCCGGGCGGGGCGCGGGGGCGGGGCCTGGCGGTGGGCGGGGCCGGGGTGAGGGGCGGGGCCTGCTGGGGGCGGGGCGGGGCCGGGCAGCGAACCCAAGGTCCCCAAGGAGAGCAGCGATGGCCGAGGGGAGCAGGAAGACGTGCGCGCGCACACAGGTGGACAGATGCGCGCACGCGCAGGCCGGCGCACGCACGCACGCACCCACGTGTCTCGGCGCTGCGCGGTGCGGAGCAGGCTTTGACCGGGGCTCGAACTCGGAGCCCGGGCGTCGCCCCCCCTCCCACGCTTCTGGGCTCAAGGCGGGCGCTCCGCCGCCTGCGCCACGGCGCCGCGCCAGCTTTTTGCTGGCTCATGGCGGGGGGGGGGGGGGAGCGTTCCTGCCCAACGCGCTTCGAACCTCGGGTTCGGATCCCAGCCTCCCGGGAGCCGCCGGGATGGCAGGCGTGGGCCCGGGGCCGGGGTGGGGGGCCGGGGCCACGACGCGCCACGCGGACCAGGCGGCACTGCGTGAAAGCGGTTTAATTGGAAGCGGGCGGGGGACAGCGGGGTCGGGACCCCGTCCCAGCCGGGGAGGGGCGGGGCCTGCGGGCCTCGGGGCGGGCAGCGAGGGCGGCGGGGCCTGTCCCCCCCCGCCGCGGGCCGCCCCGGCGGGACCCGGGCCCTGCGCCTCTCGCGCGGGCGGCGCGGCGGGTTTTCCTTGGATCCGCCCCAGGGCTCGAACTCGGGGCCTCGGGCGCCCTGCCTCTTGGGCCAAAGCCCCGCCGCAGCATCCTGGTGCTTCACTAGGCGCGGGGGTCTCGCGGCCTCTCCTGCCCGGGGCTGGCTTCGAACTCTGATCCTCCGCGCTCAGCCTCCCAGCGTGGCCGGATGCGGGGGGGGGGGGGGGTGAGGAAAGGCTGAGACGTGAAGCGATCATCCTGGGTCTGCAAGCCACGGAGGACGGAGCGCGGCCCGCGCTCTAGGAGATGAGGGCCATCTTCTCCGCGTGGATCCCCTTCACTTCCCGCGACGTGAACTTGAAGATGAACTTCTTGGGGCCGCTCTTCACCGGGATGCACTGGATCTGGAACTGGATGGCCTCGCCCGCGGGCAGCATCCTAGAACATTCCAAGCCCACAGACCCTCAGGGGGCGGGCGGGCGGGCAGGGGCGAGGGCCTCGTCTGTCAAGTAAACATGCTGGCACCACTGCGCTCGCTCCGAGTCGGGAGTCGGGAGTCGGGGCGCGGCGAGCTCACCCTTTGTCCACGGTCTGCGTGGAGGAGATGGCCAGGCTCTCGAGGGAGAAGGTGATGTGGGTGAGCGGGATGGGCAGCACGTTGCGGAAGCGGCACACGCACGTCAGCTCCTGGCCCACCTTCCCCGTGTCCGGCATCTGCGGCAGACACGGCCCACGGGGTCCACGCGCGCCGGGGGAGTGCTCCCACAGGCCCCCCCATCCCGCCACCGCTGCACGCACGTGTGTGCACGCACGCGCGAATGCGTGGACAGATGCTCGACAGATGCTTGGTTGCTTGCACACACAATTTCACCACGTGTGGGGGTCAGCCTGCATCTCCTTGTGATGTCAAGGCTGCCCACAGCTACGGGTCCAACCTCAGGGTCAGGATTACAGGCGTGGGCTGCCACACTGGGGCTTGATCTTAGGACCAAGGTGCCCATCCCTGAGCTATTTTTGCTCAAGGCAGGTTCTCTACCCCTTGAGCCACAGTGCCACTTCCAGTTTCCTGGTGGTTCCTTGGAGATCAGACTCTCACGGACTTTCCCGTCCAGGGCTGGCTTTCACCCGCGATCCTCACCTCTCAGCCTCCTGAGCAGCTGGGACGACAGGCGTGAGCCACACAGCCCTGGTCCTAAGCTCCGCTTTGCAGAAATGACCAGAGCTGCATTGTGGACGAGGTACATCCATACAGGCTTGGAGGCCACTGGGCCCACAGCCCGACAGAGTGGAGATGGAAGTGGGGGCCACATGGGGGGGGGCTCACCAAGGCTTCCTGCAGCCCCGGCTTGCTCAGGACCTTGGAGTTGGCAACGAGTGAACACTGCCCTTGCTTTTCCCCCTTGGTGAACTGAGGCCCGAGATTTACTCCCTGGAAGGCCACCGTGGCCCACATGCTAAACACCAGACTCTAGCATAAAGCTTCTAGAAAGCTGAGGAACACGGTTCAAAGCCAGCCTGCGCAGGAAAGTCCGTGAGACTCTGATCTCCAAGGAACCCCCAGAAAACCCAAAGGGGTACCTTGGCTCAAGTGGTAGAGCACCCGCCCTGAGCCAGCCCTGGGACCAGCACAAAACTAGAGTCTGCACCCCACCCCAGAGCGCTGCCATCAGTGGGCTGCGTCGGAAGGCAGCGGGCGGCTCACCTCGACAAAGAAGTTGGAGTACACGAAGTGGAGGGTGTCGTCGGTGCCTGTGGACTCCTCCGACTTCAGGTCCTGCGCCAGGAGGATGATCTTCACTACCACCTCATCGTCTACCATGCCCAGCTTGGGGATGTAGGTGTCCGGGGACACGATGAACACCACTTGGGCTTCTGCGCGAGAGGGGCAGGGGAAGAGAGCACTTGACACTGAGCCCACATGGCCATGAGTTCGGGGTGGATTAAAACACTCAACCTTGGGCCACAGCGCCACTTCTGGTGGGGGGGGGGGGGCGGGTCCATTGGAGACAAGAGTCTCAACAGTCTTTCCTGCCCGGGGCTGGCCTCGAATCGCGATCCTCCAGACCTCAGCCTCCTGAGCAGCTGGGACGACAGGCAGGCGCCCGGCAGGAATGCACACGGCCCTGTTCCATACCTTCCCCTTCGACCACCTCCTCCTTGTTGACCACGGCGAGCTGCGCCACATTTTTGCCTGTGTAGGTCTGCAGGTTGATGGAGGCAGAGAAGCTGACCCTCCGTGTCTCCTCGGTGGTGCGCCTGAGCAGCACGGTCATGACCACGGGCCTGCCCAGCTCCACCGTTTCCTCCATGATGGACAGCCCCAGCAGACTCCGCTTGTGCAGGTCCTGCGGCGGCCTCGGAACTTGCAGGAGAGAGTATGCGTGGTTCATGGCCTCTCTCTCTTCCGCCGAGCCTACGGAGACACGACGTGGCGTTTGGGGCCAGAGCGCTGGTGGCTCACGCCTGTGATCCTAGCGACTGAGGAGGCTGAGAGCTGAGGATCGAGGGTGGAGGCCTTCTCCAGGGGAAGCACAGTCTTGTGTGAGACTTTATTTCAGACGAATCACCAAAAACCAAGGCCAGAAGTAGAGCGCCAGCCTTGAACACGAGAGCTCAGGCACAAGCGCTTTGCCCGGGCCCTGAGTTCAAGCCCCATGACGGGCAAAAAAGGGAAGAAATCAGGTCTGACTTTATAAAGCCCAGATGAGCCCGGACTACGATCCTCCTATTTCCGCTTCCTTTACTTGCAGAGATGGATGGACGCCTGCCACTCCCTCAGCTGTTAATGCAGGTGTCCGCTCCTGAGCCCAGCCTGGCTACAAATCGCCTCCCCTCCCCGCCACCCCACAGTCCCACCACCAGCAGCACCCCTCCTCCCCCCGGCCAGGCCCAAGCTACCTTCGGGGTACTTATACTGATAGGTGATGTCGTGGCGGCGGTCCTGGCCCACCGCCTTGGTGCTGATGTTCTTGCCGATGCTGTCGGTCTCCACGGCGATGAGGCTGTACACGTCCTCACCGCCCACCTTCTTCAGCAGCCAGATCAGCTTGTCCCCGTTCACCTCGGTGAAGATGAACTTGGTGTCGTAACCCAGGAAGATGTCGCCGTTGCGAATGGCGGGCAGCGGGGAGGGCCCGCAGCGGAAGATGCCTGTGGGAATGGTGGCCGTCAGGGGTCACCCCAGGGGGCAGCCCATACACTGGGTTGTGTGTGTGTGTGGGGGGGGGGGTGGCGGCAGCGGAACCTGCCCAGGAGTCAACACTCCCACCACTGGCCACATCTGGCCAGGGACTAGTAAGTAGCGCACACCTGTAATCCCAGCCACTCGGGAGGCTGAGTTCTAAGGATCCTGGTTTGAAGCCAGCCCAGGCAGGAAAGCCCATGGGACTCTCTGACTGCTGATGAACCAGCAAAAGGTCGGAAGTGCTCAGCTGGGTGCACTTAGGGTTCTGGTGGTTCATTGGAGATCAGAATCTCACAGCTGTTCCTGCCCAGGCTGGCTTTGAACTGCGATCCTCACATCTCAGCCTCCTGAGAGGCTAGGATGACAGGCGGGAGCCACCGGCGCCCGGCTAGATGAACTGTGAAGATGGCTTTCTGGCTAGAGGTCAGGGTTTCCGCTCCCAGCAATCAAGAGGCTCGCAGGGGCTCTCAGCATCGCACTCAGTCTGGGCAAAATGAAGTCTGCACTCAGTCTCATCTCAAGCCGTGCCGGCTGCCTCTGTGCACACCTGTCAGCCTCAATGGACACGGGAAGCACAAATAGGAGGATCACAGCCCAGGTGCGATCCCACCCAGAAATCACCAAAGAAGCCCAGGCACCCGTGGCTCCCGCCTGTCATCCCAGCTACTGAGGAGGCTGAGAGCTGAGGATCGCGTTCAGGACCAGCCCGGGCAGGAAAGTCCTCGACACTCTTCTCTCCAATGAACCACTCAGGTGGAAATGACCCAAGTGGCAGTGTGCCATGAGTTCCAGCCCCAGGACCAGTAGAAAGAAAGCAAAAAGGTTCCTGGAGGCATGGTTCAAGCACCTGGCCCAGCACATGCAAGTTCAATTCCCAGGACCTAAGGAATAACTAGCCAGGCTGCAGGCGTAGCTCAAGTGGCAGAGGGGTGTCTAGTAGTGACAAGATCCTGAGTTCAAACCTCAGCTCTGCTTCTAAAAAGCAGCCATGCCAGCCGGGCACTGGTGGCTCACACCTGTCATCCCAGCTACTCAGGAGGCTGAGATCTGAGGATCGTGTTTAAAGCCAGCCCAGGCAGGAAAGCCCGTGAGACTCTGATCTCCAATGAACCACCAGAAAACCCAGAAGTGGCGCTGTGGCTCAAGTGGTAGAGCGCTGGCCTTGAGCTAAAAAGCTGAGGGACAGCGCCCAGACCCAGAGTTCAAGCCCCACGACCAACCAAAACATAAGCAGCCATGCCCCAGCAGCCCCTCTGCATCCCCACCCCCGGGCCCCCACCCAGGCCGCACGCTCACCATGGCTGATCTCCTGTGGGGTGCCATCCAGGGCCTGCCAGCCATCGTTGCCCACGGGCAGATCTGGCCGCCGCATCCACGCGTCTGTCCACACGTGGAAGTTCCTGTGGCAGGCAGGGAACAAGGCCCAGCCCCGTGGTTAGATGGGAACACAGCTAGGATCCACAGAGGGGAGCATGGGTCACCGAGTTCCACCCCCAGAGCCTTGCCTGGGGGGTGGATTGGGGGTAGAGGGGGTGGGGCGCCCCAAGCCTTCCCAGAAGATGTCACTGGTAGACCAAGTGAACCGCTCAAGGCCGGACACCATCTTTGGGGTTTTGAGTATGACACACTGAATAAATGCTTGGTGAATGAATGAGCAATGGGAAGTTTGACCTTTTTCTTTGCTTTTTTCTTTTTTGCCTGTCCTGAGACTTGAACTCAGGGCCTGGGCGCCATCCCTGAGCTTCATTTGCTCAAGGCTGGGCGCTCTACCACTTGAGCCACAGCGCCACTTCTGGCTTTTTCTGTGTCTGTGGTGCTGAGGAATGGAACCCAGGACTTCATGCATGCTAGGCGAGCACTCTACCACTGAGCCACCTTCCCAGTCCAGGTCTGACCGTTTTCTGGGCAGTAGACTACCTCTGGCTTGGATCCTGATTTTGTAACTGGCCAATCTTGGAACTCATTTTGTGTGAATGGGGGTGGGGGTCATGGGGCTTGAACTCTGGTCCTGGGCGCTGTCCCTGATTCTCTTTGTGCACAAGGCTAGTGCTCTACCACTTGAGCCACAGTGCCACTTCCGGTTTCCTGGTGGTTCATTGGAGATCAGAGTCTCACAGCCTTTCCTGCCCAGGCTGGCTTTGTACTGCGATCCTCAGATCTCAGCCTCCTGAGTAGCTGGGATGACAGGCGTGAGCCACGGACGCCAGCTGGGAACTGCATTTTTAAATGACTTCTGCTGGGGCAGTTCCTGCTCAGCCTGTCTCAAATCTGAATTTTGGAAACGGATTTCTGGGCATCGCCCCCTTATCAGTGTCTAATAGATCAAGCGTGGAGCGGGGCGCCCGTGGCTCCGCCTGTCACCCCAGCTCCTCAGGAGGCTGAGATGTGAGGATCACGGTTCAAAGCCAGCCCAGGCAGAAAAGTCCCCATGAGACTCTTCTCTCCAAATGAGCCACCAGAAAACCGGAAGTGGCGCTGTGGCTCAAGTGGTAGAGCGCTCGCCTTGAGCTGAAGAGCTCAGGGACGTCGCCCAGGCCCTGAGTTCGAGTCCCACTACCAACACGTAAAAGAAAAATCACAGAGGAGCGCAGGGCACCCTACCACACGGAGTCCTTGGTGAGGTCCGGGATGGTCTTGCCGGTCTGGTTCAGGTAGATGTCCACGGTGAGGTCCTTCTCCGTGTCGTGGGCTGACTCGAAGGCCGTCACACTGCGGGCGGGGATGCCCAGAGCCCTGAGCACTGCAAGGCGACGCGCCGGGGTGAGGGGGTGAGCAGCGCCCGTGGGGGCGTGGGGGAGCTCCCCCCCCACCAGTGCGGCCCACCCACCCGTGGTGAGGATGCCGGAGAACACCCAGCACTGGCCGAAGTTGACGGGCTGCTTGGTGGTGTGGAACTGCTGCAGGATGGCCACGCTGCTGGACCACAGGTGCGGCGCCGTCCCGCCCGCGTAGTTCCCCGACCAGTTCCCCGTGAGCACGCCGTTCGAGTTCGCCGCACTCATCTGATTGGGATGGGGGGGGGGGGGCATCAGCCTGCGACGGGCGGGACAGCCCTGACCCGCACCAAAGCTTCCATGGCTTCCAGTATCTTGTTTTGTGCGTGTGGGGGAGGGGGGTCCTAGGATTTGAACTCAGGACCTGGGCGCTGTCCCTGAGGTTCTGGTGCTCGAGGCGAGCGCTCTACCACTTGAGCCCCAGCTCCACCTTTGGAGATGAGAAACTCTCATGGACTTTCCCAGCCCAGAGCCTCAGGATCTCTGCTTCCTGAGGAGCTGGGATTATAGGCGGGAGCCGCAGCACCCGGCCTAGGAGGAGTTTCTAAACCTGAGAAGGCCAAGGCAGGTCCCCGGGCGGGGTTGACGGGATCAGAGTGACCCTGTCCACCCAGCCGAAGCCCCCAGCCAGCCCAGCATCCCCCACCCCACCCCAGACCAACCATGGCACACATGGTACGGGCCACCAGCACAGGGTCCCTCATTTCCAGGATCTTGAGGTAGCTCTGGGTCAGCAGGTAAATGGCGCAGCTTAGGATATTTTTCTCAAACTGGTTGGGAAAGGCAGGGGGGGGGACAAAAAACAAGAGAGGCAGGTGAATGGTTTGCCCAGATTACAGATTACCAGGCACCACCTCCTGTGGCCCTCACGGCTGGCCGCCTGAGGGGGGGTGGGGGGTGGTTAATGCCCCGGCCACGCTCTGCGCTGGCCTTGCAACCTAGACTAGGCCGCCGGGGAAGGAGCGGCGATGGCTAGCTGCTCGGCTGGCTGCTGGTCTGGGTTCGCGCAAGGGAGGCAGAGGCGAGGAGCAGGGGAAGAAGGGGAGGGAGCATGAGATCGAGGGAGGGTGCTGGAAATGAAGGATCTAGGAAGGGGGGGGAAGGGAGAAATGGATGGAAGGGGGTGGTGGATAGAAGGGAGGGAGGGAGACAATGGAGCAATGGTGGCGATGATGAAGGAGAGGATGGAGATGGTGGAGGGAGAGAAGGATGAGGGGAGGAGGGAAGGAAAGAGGAAAGCCACAAGGAATGGATGGAATAGGGAGCCGGCCGGTGGCTCCCGCCTGTCATCCTAGCTACTCAGGAGGCTGAGATCTGAGGATCAAGGTTCAAAGTCAGCCTGGAGCCAAGCCAGAAAATCCATGAGACATTTCTCTTTGCCCGTCCTGGAGCTTTGAACTCAGGGCCTGTGCACTATCCCTGAGCCTCTCTGTGCTCAAGGCCAGCGCTTTACTACTTAAGCCACGGCACCACTTCCGGCTTTTTCCCAGTAGTTTATTGGGATGAGAGTCTCACTTTTCTGCCCTGGCTGGCTTCAAAACACGATCCTCAGATCTCAGCCTCCTGAGTAGCTAGGATGACACTGGAGACTCTTATCTCCAATGTACCCAAGAAAACCGAAAGTGGTGCTCAAGTGGTAGAGCACTCACCTTGAGTGAAAAAGCTCAGGGACAGTGCCCAGGCCCAGAGTTCAAGCCCGACAACAAAATAAAGAGCTCTAAAGAAAGACTATAGATGAAAGAGGGAAGGACAGATGTGGGAAAGAAGGGCTGGAAGAAGGAAAAGATGGATGGATAGATGGATGGGTGGGTAGATGGGTGGATGGATGGATGGATGGATGGGTGGATGGGTGGGTGGATGGGTAGATAGATGGATGGATGGATGGATGGATGGATGGATGGATGGATGGATGGATGGATGGGTGGGTGGATGGATAGATGGATGGATGGATGGATGGGTGGGTGGATGGGTAGATGGATGGATGGATGGATGGATGGATGGATGGATGGATGGATGGATGGGTGGGTGGGTAGATGGGTAGATGGATGGATGAGTGGATGGATGGATGGGTAGATGGATGGATGGATGGATGGATGGATGGGTGGGTGGATGGATGGGTGGGTGGGTGGGTGGGTGGGTGGGTAGATGGATGGATGGGTGGGTGGGTGGGTGGATGGATGGATGGATGGATGGATGGATGGATGGATGGATGGATGGATAGGTGGATGGGTGGATGGATGGATAGATGGGTAGGTGGATAGGTGGATGGGTGGATGGGTGGTGGATGGATGGATGGGTGGATGGATGGATAGATGGATGTATAGATGGATGGGTAGATGGATGGATGGGTGGATGAGTGGATGGATGGGTGGTTGGGTGGAGGGTGGATGGATGAGTGGGTAGATGGGTAGATGGATGGATGGGTGGATGGATGGATGGGTGGATGGATGAATAGATGGATGGGTGGGTGGATGGATGCGTGGATGGATGGATGGTGGGTGGGTGGATGTATGGATGGGTGGATGGATGGATGGTGGGTGGATGGATGAATAAGTGGATCGGTGGATGGATGGGTGGACAGGTGGATGGATGGGTGGATGGATGGGTGGACAGATGGATGGATGGATGGATGGATGGAGGGGCCTCTGTCTCAGTTCCCCCACCAGTTTGATCCAGTGGCACACCACTGACCTTTGACCTGAAGCTCCCCGACTTCCCTCTGTCTGGCAGCCCATCACACTCTAGCTAAAGCAAGGGGAGAGGGCGCGTACTAGGTGAGTTGTTACCTGGCCGAAGTTCCAGGGCTTGCCGCGAATGTGCTTGGCGAAGCCCATGTATATGTAGCCGGTGTCGTTGAGGATGTACTCCTTGCGCTCCTCCTCGTCAGGCAAGAAAACCGGGTCGTCTGTGGGGAGACCATGTGGCTGCGTGGGTGGCCAACCCATGGGGCTTGGGGAGGAGGGGGTGCACCATCTGGGCTACAGGGGCTGGAAAGTCTCCGTGGTGGGAGGGTGGGAGAGAGGGGTGGAGGGATGATGGCAACACATTTGTCTCTTGTCTGAGACCAGGATTGGAACAAAGTATCTGATGTATTCACTCACGGGCTGGCACTCTACCCCTTGAATCGTGCCTCCAACCCCAGGCAATAGAGTTTGAATTAGAAGTCCTAAGAACTTCCAGAACATTCTGAGTGAGGTATAAGGAAATTTCACTGTGAGAGGGAAAAAAAGAGAAGAAAAAAGAAAAAGCCAAGCGTTGGTAGCTCACGCCTGTCATCCCAGCTACTCAGGAGGCTGAGATCTGAGGACTGCGGTTCAAAGCCAGCCCAGGCAGGAAAAGTCCGTGAGTATCTTATCTTCATTGAACCACCAGAAAACTGGAAGTGGCGCTGTGGCTCAAGTGGTAGAGTGCTAGCCTTGAACAAAAAGAAGTTCAGGGGCAGTGTCTAGGCCCTGAGTTCAAATCTCAGGACTGGAAAAAAAAAAAGAAGAAGAAGAAGATGAACTGTGTCCAGGCATCCAAGGCTCACGCCTGTCAGCCTAGCTACTCAGGAGGCTGAGATCTGAGGATCATGGTTTGAAGCCAGCCTGGGTAGGAAAGTTCATGAGACTCTTATCTCCAATTCATCACAGAAAAGGCTGGAATTGGTGTTGTGGCTTAAGTAGTAGAGTGCCCAGGCCCTGAGTTCAAGCCCCAGAACTGGCAAAACAAACAAACCAACAAACAAAAACACAACCAAGGGCTCGGAAGGTGGCTCAGTGGTAGAGTGCTTGCCTTGCATGCATGAGGCCCTGGGTTCGATTCCTTAGCACCACATAAAAAGAAAAAGCCAGAAGTGGTGCTATGGCTCAAGTGGTAGAGCGCTAGCCTTGAGCTGAAGAGCTGAGGGACAACACCCAGGCCCAGAGTTTAGGCCCCACGATCGACAACACCCCCCCCCCATACACACATACACACACACACACACACACACACACACACACACACACACACACACAGAACCAAGCGAGAGTCTGCAGACAGGAAGAGAAGAGCCACCTGTCTGGGGTTAGCCCCTCCCTTACAGCTGCCAAGGAAGACACTATTGGTGGGCTGTAGCTGTCCATCAATGTCTATCAAGGTTGGCAGGCAGGGCAATAGGGAGGAGGAAAAGCGGGGAAAGGGGCCTGAATTCATGGGGGTTTGGCCACAAAGAGGACGATGTCCCAGGGATGCTGGGTTGGGTCCCATTCCACTATCAGGGGCCCTCCTCATATCCCCCCCCCCCCACACACACACACAGCTGCACGTTACCAATGCACCAGGGGTTGAAGAGAAGGTAGAAGTCTTCATGCACCCTGAACGTGTGGCTTCCGGTCTTCACGGCCATCTCGTATTTGCCCACGATGGAGTTGGGGGCGCTGGTGATGGCCACGATGACCTGAGAGAGGCACGGGACAGGGTGGACACCGCCCTCCCACCAGACCGGGCTCCTAGAAAGGCCCTAGAACACTCCATACGTCCTAACGATCTTTTCTTTTCCAGTCCTGGGGCTTGAGCTCTGGGCCTGGACACTGTCCCTGAGCCACTTTGTGCGCAACACAAACACTCTACCACTTGAGCTACGGCGCCACTTCTGCTTCTCTGGTGATTCACTGGAGATGAGAGTCTCACAGACTTTCCTGCCCAAGCTAGCTTCAAACCACGATCCTCAGATCTCAGCCTCCTGAGTAGCTGGGATGACAGGTGTGAGCCACTGGTGCCTGGCCTAACCAACATAGAGAGAGAGAGAGAGAGAGAGAGAGAGAGAGAGAGTGTGTGTGTGTGTGCTCGCCAGTCCTAGGGCTTGGACTCTGTTCCTGAGCTTTTTCACTCAAGGCTGGTGCTCTACCACTTGAGCCACACTTCCACTTCTGACATTTTTTTTTGGTGCTGATTGGAGATAAAGGAGTCTCGGGGAGTTTCCTGCCTAGGTTGGCTTTGAACTGCAATCCTCAAGATTCTCAGCCTCCTGAGAAGCTAAGCTGACAGGCACCTGGCTCCAAGAGACTCCTCTCTCTAATTACCCACCAAAATAAAATAGGACTAGAGGCATGGCTCAAGTAGTAGGGCACCGGCTGTGAGCTAGCAAGTATGAAAGGCTCTGAGTTCAAATGCTGGTACTGGCAAAAGAAAAAAAGTGTAGGAAGGAGTGAGATGGAGGCGGTGTACCCATGGTCAGGGGGCAGAGAAGAGAAACAGATGGAGAGGCAGAGGGGAGGAGAGACACTGGGAGACAGTGGCCTGGGTCTTTAAGCTGTGGCCACCTAGAAGGTGAGGACCGTAGCGTCTGAAATTAGTCCCAGAACTGTCCAGAAGCCAGTGAGGCAGAGCCCGCAGGGCCGTGGCTCTCACCTCCTTGCCGGTGTTACTGGTCAGCGAAGCCTTCCAGCCTTCGAAGCGGGACGCGGTGGGCATCTTCAGGTTCAGTTCCACCAGGGTGTGTTTGGCGATGCTAGGATTCGGCCCTGGGAACACCCAAAACGGGGAGAGTCTTGACTTCCTGTCTACCCGCCGGGATTACAGGTGTGTGCTACTACGTGGGGCCAAAGTATGACTGACTGGCTGCGAGGCCGGTGGATGGCTGAGATTTGGGGAGACAAAAACACAGACCCCACTCTACCCTTTTCACACACAACCCCCCCACACACACACCCCCCGAGGACTCACCGATGGCAAACTGCAGCTTCAGTTGCTCGTGGGGCTCCAAAGATTTGCTGAGTATCAGACGCAGGTGGAATACCTGCCCGCGACGGAGCACGAGTTTGTTGGTCTGGAAGTTGTCCGTGTGGTGGGCTGTGGTGTTCTGCTTCCTCAAGAAGTCAATGCGGAGAGCCTGCAACTCTATTGGGGTGCAGGGCGGACAGGGAGGTGCAGACACACACGGCGGGGGGGGGGGGGAATGGACAGACAGACATTTCGTTTATAATCAACACTGGGGAGGAGCTTACAGCCCTCGTTCTCTTTTTTTTTTTGCCAATCCTGGGGCTTGAACTATGGGCCTGGGTGCTCTACCACTTGAGCCAAAGCACCCTTTCTGGCTTTTTCTGATTCCTTCATTGGAGATAAGAGTCTCACAGACTTTCCCACCCGGGCTGGCTTCGAACAATGATCCTTAGATCTCAGCTTCCTGAGCAGCTAGGATGACAGGCGTGAGCCACCAGCGCCCAGCTACCCTCAAGCCTAAAGCCACAACAAGCCTCACTAATGCCCATAGCTCACGCCTGTCATCCCAGCTATTCAGGAGGCTGAGATGTGAGGATTGCAGTTTGAGGCCACCAGGGCAACGAAGTCTAGGAGACTCTTTATCTCCCACATCTCAACAAAGAAGCTGCACATGGAGCTGTGGCTCAAGAGGTAGAGAGCTAGCCTTGAGCAAAAAGAAAGAAAAAAAAAACCCCTCAGAGACAGGACAGTGCCCGGGTCCTGAGTTCAAGGCCCAGAACATAGAACTAGCGCATGTGCCAGGCGCTGGCGGCTCCCGCCTGTCATCCTAGCTACTCAGGAGGCTGAGATCGGAGGATCGTGGTTCAAAGCCAGCCTGGGCAGGAAAGTCCATGAGACTCTTCTCTCCAGTGAACCACCAGAAAAGCAGAAGTGGCATTGTGGCTCAAGTGGTAGAGCGCTCGCCTTGAGCGCTGGCCATCTTTGGTCTTTTAACCCCTGAAAATCAAATTGTTCCTTGCAGTGAAGAGGCAGGAGGACTAGATGCGAAATAAACAGGCCAGTGTAGCCTGAGACTGCAGGCAAGGGAGGAAAACGACCCGAGAAGCAGCAAGCGCCATCTGGGCCAGGACACCCTACCTTTCTTGCTACCTCGTCCCTGGTAATTACAAAACTGCACCCAGCTGTGAAGCCAATGATGGCTGAGCGCGGGGGTGGGAGACGTTCACTGATCTGCCCCGCTAATGAACACGTGCTAGGGACTTCAGACCCTTTCTCTGCTGGATGCTAGTGGCTTACACCTAGAATCCTAAGCTACTCAGGAGCCCGGGATCTTAGGATCGTGGTTCAAAGCCAGCCCGGGGACAAAAAGTCTGTGAGGGTCTTATCTCTGATGAGCCACCAGAAAGCTAGAAGTGGAGCTGTGGCTCAAGTGGTAGAGTGCTAGCCTTGCGTGGAAAAAGCTCAGGGGCAGCGCCTAGGCCCGTGTTCAAGCTCTAGGACGGACACCAAACACTGAAAAGAAAAAAAGAAAAGCAAAAGAGATCATCTGGAAAGTGACTCAGGCCCAGAGTTTCAGTGCATGGTTCTTCATCTGATCTTGCCTGCCCTGAAGGCTCTAGCTGGTGGATATCATGAGACCACAGAAGGTTCCAGAATAATCAAGAAGGGGAAAACAAATGCACGCAGCACTTAGGGAGTTCAAGCGGAAGGCTACGGGAAGTCGTCTTATACTTTTGGGTCATGTTGGAAGTCATACAGAAATGCGAAGTGGGAGTTTTTGTTTTTCTGCTGGTCCTGGGTCTTGAACTCGGGGCCTAGGCACTGCCACCTGACCTCTTTTGCTCCAGGATAGCACTCATCGCTTTCAGCCCCAGTTCTACTTCTGGATTTTAGTGGCTCACTGGAGGTTGAGTCTCCCAGACTTTTCCTGCCTGGGATGGTTTTGAACCTGTGACCTTCGGATGTCAGCCAGGCATGAGCCACGGGTACTGGTTGCATTTGTCTTTTAAATGAGTAGATAGAGAATAAAGCGGAGCTGGCCTCGCCGGCCTGGGCTGGGTTAGGGACAGCCAGTGTGTGGGCCAACGGTGGGTTGGGCTGAGCGAGCAAAGATGGCAGGTACGGGGAGATTTCCTGCACTCACCGTTCATCGTGGTCATTGTGTCCTCTGTCCTGTGGCCCCAGAAAGAAGTCAGTCCTGCTGCCTGTGTGGCCGGAGCTGCCTCTGAGCAAGGGGGGAGGGACCCCGCGCTTTTTTATGTGGTCCTGGGCAAGGCGTAACCCAGTAGGGTGGCTGCGAAAGGGCGGGGCTTGGGGACGTGTCCTCACGAACTAGTAAAACTTTATCACCTCCCCCATCAGGCGTGGCGAGCCAGCTGTCCAGCTGAGCTGACTGAAAAGAACAAGTCAGGCGCTGGTGCCTCACGCCTGCCATCAGGAGGCAAAGATCTAGAGGATCATGGTTCAAGGCCAGCCTGGGTAAGATCCATCTGGCCATGAAACTCTTATCTCCCACGAGCCACCAAAAAAGCTAGAAGTGGCACTGGGGCTCAAGTGGTAGAGTGCTAGCCTTGAGCAAAAAGAAGCTCAGGGACAGTGCCCGGGCCCTGAGTTCAAGCCCCACAACTGGCACCAAAAAGAAAGTTAAACAAAAGGGAAAGGACATGAGGCATGGCATCTTGTCTCTTAGGTGATGCTCACACTCTCTGGGAATGACCCACCAAAAGCTAGCATGCTGTGGATTCACAGATCTCAAACTCCCGAGTAGCCAGGACTACAGGTGAGCCCACCAATGCCTGACATATTTGATTTTTTTCCCCTCATATTTTATTTTACTTTATTTTTGTCAGTCATGGGGCTTGACCTTAGGACCTGGGAGCTACCCCTGAGTTCTTTTGCTCAAGACTAGATACCACTTTGAGCCACAGCAACATTTTCGGTTATCTGGTGGTTCACTGGAGATAAGTGTCTCATGGACGTTCCTGCCTGGGCTGGCTTTGAACTGCAATCCTTAGATCTCAGCCTCTTGAGTAGCTAGGATGACAAGCGTGACCACCAGTGCCCAGGCTACTTCATTCCCTCATTCCTCCAGTGTATATTTCAAATTACAAAGATGTACCTTTTTTTTTTTTTGCCAGTCCTGGGCTTGAACTCAGGGCCTGGGCACTGTCCCTGAGCATCTTTTGCTCAAGGCGAGCGCTCTACCACTTGAGCCACAATGTCACTTCCAGCTTTTGCTGTATATGGGATGCTGAAGAATCGAACCCAGGGCTTCATGCAGGCTAGATGAGTACTCTACCGCGGAGCTACCTTCCCAGCCCCCTTGTGACTTTTCTAAAACATGCCTCATACAGTTGAAGGGTTCAGACGTACTCGGGGCCTCCAGGCCTAACAGAGGTCTCTGTCATCTTCCGTCTTATTTCACAAGGGATGCCTACCTATGCGTGTTCGTACCTTGCGTGTGTCCTCAGTTACTAGGCCTTGGAGATGGGAGGGATTTTTTCCCACCAGGATGAGCTGGTCTGCCTTTCTCGCAGCTGCGCAGTAGAGTTCCTTTGTACTGATAACCAGTCACTTATCTCCCAGCGATTCCATAGGGTGTTTGGGTTGGCTGCCAGCCAATCAGTTGCTGTGAAGACAAACCCATCCTTGGCACACAGACCATGCCTCCTGATGCAGACTTTACGTGGGGCTCAGGGCAAGGCCTTACTCAGTGAGAATTTGAGCCAAACAGCAAACACAGTTATGATCAATGGCAGATCTGACATCCTATCAGTGCCCTGGCTCTCCCCAAGGAACACTGGTCATTAAACAAAACCAAAATGAGCCAGGAGCCAGTGGCTCTCGCCTGTCATCCTAGCTACTCAGGAGGCTGACATCTGAAGATCGCAGTTCAAAGCCAGCCTGGGCAGGAAAGTCCCCATGAGACTCTTATCTCCGATTAAGCACCAGAAAACCGGAAGTGCTGCTGTGGCTCAAGTGGTAGGGTGCCATTTTTAAGCAAAAAAGCTAAAGACAGTGTGTAGGCCCTGAGTTCAAGACACAGCATGCACGCACACGCACACACACACACACACACACACACACACACACACACACACGTGTTTCTGAGCTTGCTTTCCTTCCCTCCAGCTCCAATGGAACTCCTAGACCTCTGCAGAGCAGGTTCTTAACCTTGTGCTCATGGCTTTCCTCAGTCATCTGGTCCTCAGGGGTCATCTGTCATCAGTCTAGCCTGAGCCGAAGCACGTTCGGGTGACAGGCCAGTACTGAGAGCCCCCACAACTCTGGCTCACATAAAGCCCCCGGGCCTTATGCTGGGATAGAACTTTCTGCTTTCCATTCATGAAAGGGACCAGACAAGGGACCATCAGAAGACAGGAGGCTTTGAAAGCCCCTTCCTAGAACGTGGGTATGAAGGCTGAGTGTGATAGTGCATGCCTATAATCCCGGGGATTTAGGAGGCTGAGATGGGCGAATCATCAGGTGCCTGGGCAAAGGGAGCACTCTGTCTCAAAGGCAAAATAAAACCAGGCGGACTGAAAGTAGAGCTCAAGTGGTAGAGAGCTTGCCTGGCCTGCCCGAGGCCCTGGGTTCAATCCCTAATGCCAAAAGAAAGGGAAGGTGGCACCAGTGGCTCATGCCTATAATCCAAGCTACTTGGGAGGCTGAGATCTGAGGCCCGCGGTTCCAAGCCAGCCTAGGCTAGGAAAAGTAAATGAGACGGATCTCCAATTAAGTACGGAAAAAGCTGGAAATGGGAGCTGTGGCTCCAGGTGGTAAGAGTGCTAGCCTTGAGCACCAAAGCTTAAGGAAAGCACTCAGGTCCTGAGTTCAAGCCCCAGGACCAGCACAGAACACTTCAACCAGAAAAGGCCGGGTAGGTTGTTCCGGGGTGGGCGAGTGAATGGCAAATGTTTGAATTGAGCCAGGCTAAGGTGGCAGGGAGGGAGGAAGGGCTGGCACAGATGCCAGGCTCTCCTCCTGGGACCCCAATCAGGCTGGGAAAACATGGCTGTGGGGAATTCAAGTTCTGTTCCCATCCATTTCTGTCCCTCCTCCTCCAAATCAGAGAAGGCACAGGGCAGCCAAGGCACTGGCAGGGGCCCAGGCGCCAGCACGGGGGCTACTCCCGGCGCCGAGCTTGTGGGCCTGTGTCGTAAAGATGGCCATCTGCTTGCTTTTGATGTGCTTGTTTGTGGGCCGGGGAGGAGTCAGTAAATACGCACCCACCGAGCTGCGGGGCATCACATCTCTTCCTCGTGTCTCTCTCTGAACCTAGAGTTTTTGTGTGGCTTTTATCATGGATCAGACGCTCAGCGTTCCTAGAAAGGTAAACAATTTTATAGGAAAATTAGAAGAAGAAAAAAAACATACTAGATTCCTGAAGTCTGTTCCTCGTGCCCGCTCTGGGGCACACGAGGGTGTCTGAATTCTCTCTTGCACACGGTCCTCAGATGCTCACAATACCCACCCAGAAGCCTGCCCCGTGGACGGATCCCCCACACACACACATACCCCCACACCCCTGATTTTGAACAGTCACTGATTTGAAAGTCATCTCTCTCATGCCACATTTCTCAGGTGGTTTTGTTTTGCTTTGTTTTTGCTGGTCCTGGGGCTTGAACTCTGGGCCTGGGCGCTGCCCCTCAGCTCTTCAGCTCAAGGCGAGCACTCTACCACTTGAGCTACAGCGCCACTTCCGGTTTTCTGGTGGTTATTGGAGATAGGAGTCTCACGGTCTCTCCTGCCCGGGCTGGCTTTGAACCGCGATCCTCAGATCTCAGCCTCCTGAGTAGCTAGGATTACAGGCGTGAGCCACTAGCGCCCGGCTGCTGGGAGCTTTTGTGCTTCAGGCTAGGGTTCTACCACAGTTGAGCCACAAGCACCACTTCCGCTTTTCTGGTGGTTCATGGGAGAGGAGTCTCAAGGCCATTCCTGCCTGGGCTGGCTTTGAACTGTGATCTTCAGATCTCAGCCTCCTGAGTAGCCACCAACACCTGGTGATTCGGAGGCTTAGGAGAGCTGTAGGCATGCTCTCTGGGATCCGAGCTAGCTCAGCCCTTAGGAGCAGTGGAATGGAAATGGGGGGAGTCTGGGCCCCCTCAGCCCTTGCTCTAGAGGCTTTTTTCCTACTTGTAGACTTTAGAGTAAACCACCCTCTGATCCAGTTTTAGCCCTGGCTAAATTGTGACCTGCCACAATTCCCTTCTCCACACTGGACCCCGCCATTCCTTATCTAGGCTCAAAGAACCAGGAGCAGAGCTGACCTCCCATGAACCACCAGAAAACCAGAAGTGGTGCTGTGGCTCAAGTGGTAGAGTGCTCGCCTTGAGCTGAAGAGCTGAGGGACAGCGCCCAGGCCCAGAGTTCAAGCCCACAACCACATATATATATATATATACTTGACAGTCCTGGGACTCCAAGTTGGGGCCTAGATGCTGTCCTGAGCTTTTGTGCGTGAGACTAGTGCTCCACCACTTGAAACACAGCTCTACTTCTGGCTTTTTTGGAAGCTCACTGGAGATGGAAGTCTCACAGACTTTACTGCCTGCGTTGTTTTCGAACCATGATCCTCAGATCTCAGCCTTCTAGGATGACAAGTGGGAGCCACCAATGCCCAGCTTTTTTTTTTTTTGCCAGTCCTGGGGCTTGAACTCATGGCCTGAGCACTGTCCCTGAGGTTATTTTGCTCAAGGCTAGCACTCTACCACTTGAGCCACAGCGCCACTTCGGCTTTTTCTGTGTATGTGGTACTGAAGAACTGAACCCGGGGCTTCATGCATGATAGGCGAGCACTCTACCACTGAGCCACCTTCTCAGCCTTGATATTCTTTACTAAGTGGTGTCTCAAGTATTTGAATGAATGGAATCACATGGAGGCCACATGGCCTCTGGAAGGAAGGAACATGGCGAATGCTCCCTGCCTGAGATAATGCAGCGCACCCTGAGCTGCTTCCTGGGGGTCGGAGCGGGGGAGAGTCATCTTCCCCTTGGGAAAGCACCTTCTATCGCTATCTGGTGCTCTTCCTGGAGGCTTTATCTGTTGATTCAAGTCAGAGCATCTTAAATCAACACTGGCTCTTTTGTATCAGCAGGTGTTTAGATGGGAGGCCAGGTTCCCTGAAGACCAAGGCTGGCTCCAAGATGGCCTTCTTCCTTCCTGCTCTCTCCAGAGACTTCTCTCCCCAGGGAGGTCCTATCACTTGGGGGTCTGGACACTATCCCTGAGCCTTTTCACTTAGGGTTAATGCTCTCCCACTTTGAGCCACAGCTCCACTTCTGGTTTTCTGGTGGTTCAGTGGAGCTAAAAAGTCTCAGGGACTTCCTGCCTGAGCTGGCTTTGAACCGCCATCCTTGAGATCTCGGCTTCCTGAGGGGTAGATTGGCAGGTTGCATCACCTGGTGCCCTGCTTGTACCACTGATTAGTTCAGCTGTTTCACTGGTGCTCGTGGCTGGGGGGCGTGGCTCGCGGGGGAACAGCCCCCTTGCGGAAGCCTTGCTCTCCCTGGGTGGTCAGAATGACGAGGTGAGACTACACACAGGTGGCTGGTGCCAAGAGAGCCATGACAGCTCTCATGCTCTAGCAGTGCGCCATGGCTTCCTGTGGGCTTGGTGGCGCTCTGCAGAGGCAGAACGGGTTGAGACGGTCAAAGCAGTAAAGTCCTCATTAGCTGGGTGACCCCGAGCGAATGACACCCTCCACCCATCTCTGAGGGTAAGAATAGAAAAATATCCTTGTTCTGGGGTGGCTGGCAAGCTGTCCCCCAGCAAGGTGGCTCAATGAGCAGCCTGGAGACCATACCTTTGGGTCCCCATGAAACCAAGAAGTTTTTGTTTTTTGGGTTTTTTTGTCGGTTATGGGGCTTGAACTCAGGGCCTGGGCACTGTCCCTGAGCTTCTTTTGCTCAAATGCTAGCACTCTACCACTTGAGCCACAGATCCACTTCCGGCTTTTTCTGTTTATGTGGTGCTGAGGAATCGAACCAGGGCTTCATGCCTGCTAGGCAAGCGCTCTACCACTGAGCCACCTTCCCAGCCTGAGATGAAGGTTTTGAATACCGTTCTGTCCATGTCTCCTGATATCAAATGAAAGATGGGGTGTGTTCTGGGACACCTCCTTTTCTGAGGAAGCAAAATGATCAGGGGCTCTAATGGAAGGCCCTACTTTCCTCTTTGATTGACCCAGTTTTCATGCTTCCCAGGGCACTGGCCTGGGCACTGTACACAATGCCACCTGCTCTGCTCCACAGATTTCAGCTCACACTGGTGGCTCCAAAAAGATTCTATAGCTTTAACTGAAAACACAACTAAACAAACCAACACAACATTTATTAACTCGTTTCCCTTCTCTGGCTCCCGTAGCCAGGCATGCAGCGGGCTGGAGTCCCGCAGCATGGCGCTGTGCAGAAGGCCTTGGCAGGGCGCAGAGAGGCCTCGATCAGGACAGACAGCATGGTTTTAGGAACTGTGTCGCACACAAAGCTGAGCCACCCAGGATCTCAGCTTGTGCCAGGGCTCCAAGGCTTTTTGTCTTGTTTTGTTTTGGGTCAGTAGTGGGGCTTGAACTTACGGCCTAAGTGCTGTCCTTGAGCTTTTGCGTTCAAGGCTAGCGCTCGACCATTTCTGGTTTTCTGGTGGTTCACTGGTGAGAAAGAGTCTCACCAACTTTCTTGCTCGGAGTTGCCTTTGAACCGCGATTCTCAGATCTCAGCCTCCTGAGGGGCTACAATGACAGGCGTGAGCCACACAGACGTACAGCTGGTCTGAGGTTGTTTTGGCGGTGGGCAAAGAATCAAAGCACTCTCCACATGTTGGGTGGAGGGCAGAGGCCAGTATGGCAGTACCACCCTCAAGGCTGTGTGGCCAGAGGCCTGATCTCTTGGGATCGGGGCTAGCCTGTTGGCCTGGCTGCTCCAGCATCTCCCTGTGGCCACCAACTGGAGGGCTGGGTATCCAGGCCACTCTGGAAGTGGTGGCGAACACCAACCCAAGGCCGCAGAGCCCTGGTCACCTTTCACGAGTCCTTCCAGCCAGGAGGTTACTGTTGCTTGTGTGGGAGGGCCTTCCAGGTGGGCGGGAGCTTCCGGTGGACCAGGGTGAGTCCACAGAGAATGAGGAACACACCTCCCCACCATAAGACCTCCTGGCACTCTCCATACAGCACGTAGCCCAGGAAAGCCTGTGGGCAGAGAGAGCAGGGAGGGCCTTAGCCTTTGAGGAGTCCAGTGGCAGCCCAGCAGGTGTTTCCCAGGAGCACTGGGTTCCTAAGAGATTTCTGACCCTAGTTAGGCAACTGCGGCCTTCTACGCTCTTCAGGACTGACCGCTCAACTCTCTCTTGAGGACCGACTACTGGGGCGTTGATGTTCCACACTGGGAGCCAGCTACGCTGCCTGGAGGGTCAGCAAGTACACAGGCTTTTTGTGTGTGTACCCATCCTAGGGCTTGAACTCGGCCTGCGCGCTCCCCCCTTAACTTTTTCACATTGCACCTGGTTCTCTTACCCCTGGAGCCACACCTCCACTTCTAGCCTTTTCACAGTTAATCTGCAGGTAAGAGTCTCATGGATTTTCCGGCTTTGGATGACTTTGAACGGGGACTCTCAGATCTCAATGTCGTTTGTAGCTATGGTAACAGGCGTGAGGCACCAGCACCTGGCTTATTACGCATAGACTTTTTTTTTTTTTTTTTTTATTGTAAAGCTACTATACAGAGGGTTACAGTTACATGAGTGAGGTTATAAGTACACTTCCTCTTGAACATTGTTACCCCCTCCATTGTTTTCCCCCTACCATCCCCTCCCTCCCTCCCTTCCCCGAGGTTCTTTTTTTTTTTTGATTGTGATTAAATGATTACATAATTTCAAAGTCACAAGTTCATTCTAACTTCCCTGGAGCAAATTGTCTACCACAGTCTGTAATATATAACAGTGTTCACAACGCATAGACTTTTGACAGTCAGGTTTCACTCCTATAACTTCGTAAGAATTCTATTTTGTTGTTGTTGTTGGTTGTGGGGCTCAGGACCTGAGCTTTTCTTTTCTTCTTTTTTGCCAGTCCTAAGGCTTGAACTCAGGGCCTGGGTGCTGTCCCTGAGCTTTTGTTCAACGCTAGCACTCTACCACTTGGGCCACAGCACCACTTCCGGCTTTTTCTGTGTATGTGGTACTGAGGAATCGAACCCAGGGTTCATGCATGCTAGGCAAGCACTCTACCACTGAGCCACATTCCCAGCCCTTGGAGCTTTTTGTTATTCTTGTTGGTTGTGAGGCTTGAACTCAGGGCCTGGGCGCTACCCCTGAGGTCTTTTGCTCAAGGCTAGCACTCTAGCACAAGGCTAGCACTTTTGAGCCCCACTTCCGGTTTTTGAATTGTTAATTGGAGATAAGAGTTTCACAGGGACTTTCCTTCCCTGGCTGGCTTCGAATCACAATCCTCAGATCTCAGCCTCCTGTGTAGCTGTGAGCCACTGAGGCCCCGGAGGACCTTTTTGAGCTTTTTTGCTCAAAGCTAGCGCTCTAACACTTTGAACCACAGGTCTACTTTTGGTTTTGGGGGTGGTTCATTGGAGATAAGAGTGTCTATTATAGACTTTCATGCCCTGGCTGGCTTCAGACCATGATGCTCAGATCTCAGCCTCCTGAGTCACTAGGATGACAGGCGTGAGCCACCACAGCCCAAGCCAAGACTTCTCTGTGAAACAGCTCCACATCCAACCTCTACTTCCTTTCCTGTGCTTTCTCTTGTCTGGGAAAGGAGCAGGGTCCCCCCAAGGACAATCCACTTAGAACCTAGGCTTCGGACAAGGGTACCATGCCCTTGGGGGTACTCACCGAGCTGAGGATGTTAGAAAAAGTCACAGTAACAGAGGCAATGGCTGAAGACATGGAGAAACTGAGGCCCCGGCTAAAGAAAGTCCACATCAGAGAGTTGGTACTCGCCATGGTGATAATACCTAAGACGCACAGGCCCATGTTCACCTGCAAGAGAAGTGTTACTGCGGTCATGGCCAGGCCAGAGCTGCTGTGATCAGATGTCTACTGAGCCCCCACCCCTGTCCCAGTACACAGCTTCCTGAGCCCTTAGCGGGCAGCAGAGCCAACTCAGGGAAAAACCTTTGCTGCCCATGTGAGTGACCTTAGTAGCAAAATGGTCATCCACATGGAGTCTTTTAGTTGTTGGTGGTCATAGGGCTTGAACTCGAGGGCTGGGTACTATCCTGAGGTTTCTTTTGCATAAGGCTAGTGCTTTACCGCTTGAGCCACAGCCCCATTCCAAGCTTTTTCTGAGTATTTTATTGGAGATAAAAAGTCTCATGGAGGGCTGGGAAGGTGGCTTTGTGGTAGAGCACTTGCCTTGCATGCCTGAGGCCGAGTTCGATTCCTCAGTACCACATACACAGAAAAAGCTGGAAGTGGCACCGTGGTTCAAATGGTAGAGTGCTAGCCTTGAGCAAAAGCTCAGGGACAGTGCCCAGGCCCTCAGTTCAAGACCCAGGATTGGCACCAAAAAAAAAAAAAAAAAAAAAAAGTCTGGACTTTAATGCTAAAGCTGGCTTCAAACCATGATCCTCAGACTTCTAAGTAGCTAGGATGACAGGCATGAGCCCTCAGTACCTGGCTTTCCCTGAGCTCTTTTTGCTCAAGGCTACCACTCTACCACGTTTAGCCACAGTGTCATTCCAAGTTTTCTGATGGTTAAGTGGAGATAAAGAATCTCAGGGACTTTCCTGCCCAGACTGGTTCTGACCCACAATCTTCAGATCTCAGCCTCCTTGGTACTTAGGATGATAAGCATGAGCCACCAGTGGCCAGTCCAGATCTAGTCGTTTCTGCTAAACAGTGGAATCCTTTACTGATCCCACAAGAACCAGGTCTGGACGCTAAGACCCAAACAGCTAAGCTGCAACTATTTGATATGTGTATGAGAGGGTCAAGGAAGGGTCTTTCCTTCCTGGGGTCAGGTCAAGCATAAATGAGCCATCTGTGCCTCATGCCTAACTCTCTGCACTCAGGTGAGCTGCTCTGAGCATTCTTGAGCTTTTCCTCTGTGCTGGAATTTGTGCTAAATGTTTTCAAGACATTCTTGTTAACTCCTTGATTTCATTTTACAGAGGTACTATAGAACTTACCTAGAACTGGGGAAAGCAGACAAGATTCAAACTCAGGCAAATGTTCTCCGTGCTCTGTATGGCACAGACAAAAGCCCTGTCTGTCTAGGGCTATCTGGGCTGTTCTGGCATTGCTTAGAAAACTTGCAGGTCCTATCTATCTATCTATTTTGGTACCGGTCCTCAGGCTAGAACCCAGGGCCTAGGTGTGTCCCTGAGGGTCCCCCCCCCCCGTTTTCTTTTTCTTAAGACTAGACCATGTAGTGGAGCTGTGGCTCAAAGTCAAAGTGGAGAGCTCTAGAGCCAAAGAGCTCAGGGACAGTGCCCAGGCCGAGTTCAAGCTCAAAGGAAAAAAAAATGGAGGAGGAGAGGGGAAAGGGGAAAGGACAAAAGGGAGAAGGGAGAAGAGGAAGAGTAGCATTCTACCACAGGAGCCACAGCTCTCCTTTCGGGATTTTTAGTGCTTAGTTGGAAATAGTCTCACAGACTTTACTGCCCAGGCTGGCGTTTAATCACAATCTTAGCGCCTTCAGTAGCTAGCATTACAGGTGTGAGCCACTGGTGCCAGCACCCCACTATTTGTTTTAAAACTATTTTTATTTTTTGCCAGTCCTGGGGCTTGAACTCAGGGCCTGGGCACTGTCCCTGAGCTGCTTTTGCTCAAAGCTAGAGCTCTACCACTTGAGTCACAGCACCACTTCCAGCCTTGTCTGTTTATATGGTACTGAGGAATTGAGCCCAGGGCTTCAATGCATGCTAGGCAAGAACTCTACCACTAAGCCACATTCTCAACCCTTAAAACTATTTATTTTTAATGAAAGAGAAAACCTTTAGCAAGGAAGCTTTCACACACAGGTTATGTGGATCTGTTTGGTACAAGTGAATAAACACAGACAGAACAACTTTCTTCAAGGAATGGGCCCATATAGATATTGTTCTATTAGTTTTCCCAGAAGCTGAATCTCTAGCATGTTTTGGGAAGGGGCAACCAATGGACTAGTGGCAACCTGATCTTCTGGTTATGAAGACAAGACCAAAATAAGAGTGGGGTAGGAGGAAAAAAAAAAATCAGACAACAGTGCTTCATGCCTGTAATCCTAGCTACTCAGGAGGCTGAGATGACAGTTTGAAGTCAGCCTGGGCAAGAAAGGCTGTTGAGACTCTTACCTCCAATGGACCAGTAAAAAAACAAAAAACAAAAAACCCTGCAAGTGGAGCTGTGGCTTAAGTGGTAGAAACACCAACCAGCCTTCAGCAGAAAGAGCTAAAGGGACAAGTGTCTAGGCCCCGAGTTCACACACACAAAAACGAACTCTCTTTTGGCCAGTCATGGGGTCTGGACTCTGGGCCTGGGCGCTGTCCCTCAGCTCTTCAGCTCAAGGCCAGCACTCTACCACTTGAGCCACAGCGCCACTTCTGGCTTTTTCTGCTTGTGTGCTGCTGGAGGAATTGAACCCAGAGCCTCATGCATGCAAGGCAAGCACTCTACCACTGAGCCATCTTTCCAGCCCGAACGAACTCTTTTTTAAAAAGCCAATACAAAACCCTTTATGATCCAATGATTTTTTTTTGTTGTTGTTGTTGTTTAACCTAAGAACAGAATACTAACTTCAACCTTGGGAAGGGCTGAAATTTAAATAACCAGTCATTCCTCATCCAGCTCAGGGCCTACCTGCACCGAATGAATCCTCCCTCCCGCCTCCAATTAAGCCGAGGCCCATCTAGTACCCCCCTGAATGGGTAGAGCAGGGAGATAAGCCGCCCAGGGGCCTGGGACCACAACGATGTTTTTTTCAATGTTGCCTATACTTGGGGGGGGTAATCCCCAAATGCTCAATTTTCCTGGCTGAGCAGGTAGACTGGCCGGCGGGAACAGGGAAAAGATGGAAGGGAAGGGAGGACTAACAACTAAGACGGGCAACAGGTTTCTCACCTTCAAGAGTCAACGTGCCGAGGAAAGCTGAGCACAGTGTGGGGGGGGGGGGCTAAAAAATGTCAGATGGGAGGTGGAGCTGCTCCCCGCCCGAGGGAAGGGAGGAGGAGGAGGAGGAGGCCTCAGTCCCCGGCGTCTCCCGCCGCACACCTCGGACGAGGGGGCCGGGGTGGGGGGGGAGTGGGGGTGATGGCGAAGTCGGGGTGCGGGAGGCTTCCCCCAGCCCGCCCAGCTCCGCGCGCGCCGCCCCGGGCCCCGCAGCGCCCTCCGCCGCCCGCCCCGCCCGCAGCAGCGGCGCCCCGGGCTGCACCTCGCGGCCGAAGGCCAGCTTGGCGGAGGCGGCGGCCAGGGCCCCGAACGCGCCGGCGCACAGGCAGTTGAACACGCCCCAGAAGCGGCGCCTCATCGCGCCGGCCTGGAGGTGATGGGGAAATTCGGCCGGTGTGTCGGGGTAAGCGGTGGCCGACACAGGGCCCGGGCCAGGGCCCGCGCCGCGCGAGGACGGCGTCCTCGCCGCCATGACGCCCACAGCGTTCCAGCCACCAGCTGGACTCCGCGCTCTGCGCCTGACGCGCCGGGCGCAGAGCTGACGTAAGGGGAAGCCACCACTCAGAGCGCTGGGAGGCGGGGCCAGCCTCGAGCATGCGCAGGGGGCTCGGGGCTGGAGACCGAAGCCCAGCTGGGTGGTTCTTTTTGAATCCCAGGGGCGGGGCCTAAGCGTCCCAGGGCGGGGCCAAGCGGACAGGGGGTGGGGCCAATCTCGGGCCGGCGCGAAGGATGGCGGGAAAAATGAAGCCTGAAGCTCTCTCAGTCTGCGCTGGTCAGGTGCAGGATGGTTGTTGATTGGGAGACGTGGCTTCCCACGTTGGCCATTGTGAGAAGAGGGTCTTTTCTATCTAAGTAGATTACTTCTTTTTTTGTTGCCAATGTTGAGAGAATTGTTTTTCTAAAGGGGTTCTGCTTTGGCTTGGTGGTTTGACCTTTTTTTTTTTTTTTTTGGCTTGTCCTGGGGCTTGAACTCAGGGCCTGGGCTCTGTCCCTGGGCCTCCTTTGTGTTCAAGGCTAGGGCTGTACCACTTGAGCCACAGCACCACTTCCGACTTCTTCTGAGAAGTTTATTGGCAATAAGAGTCTCCGGCTTTTCCTGCTCCAGGCTGGCTTTGAACAGTGATCCTCAGATCTCAGCCTCCTGAGTAGCTAGGATGACAGACATGAGCCACAAAGGTGCCTGGCTTGGCCCTTGTTAATCCTATTTTGGTTACATACATCTCTTTCCTTTTTTCTTTCTTCCTTCCTTTTTTGCCAGTCCTGGGACTTGAACTCAGGGCCCTGGGCACTGTCCCTGAACTTCTTTCTTGCTCAAGGCTAGCTAGCATTCTACCACTTGATCCACCGCACCACTTCTTTTTCTGTGTATGTGGTACCAAGGAATGGAACCCAAGGCTTCATGCATGCTAGCACTGCTTCAAGCACTGTACCTCTAAACCACATTCTCAGCCCCATACATCTCTTTTTTGAGCACTTTAACAGACAGCCCGTTAGAAATTCCTTGAATTTTAATCCCATCCTGTTTTTCAGATTGTGAACCTGACCTAAACCAATGGGAGCGGAGGGCCAGGGCCTGTTGGGTTAGAGATTAAAAAGGGAGCAGCCTGCCTGTTCTGTGTGCCTGCTTGCTAGATTTTTGGGCACTAGGGCACCATTCTGTAGAAATAAACTTTGTCAGTGGGGTGCTGGGGCCTCATACCTGTCATCCTAGCTACTCAGGCTGAGATCTGAGGATTGTGATTCAAAGCCAGCCTGGGAAGGAAAGCCTGTGAGACTCTATCTCCAATATACTCAGAAAAAGCCAGAAGTGGCACAGTGGTTCAAGTGGTAGAGTCCTAGCCTTGGACACAAAGAGACTCAGAGATAGCACCCAAGCCAAGTTCAAGCCCAGGACAAAAACTCTGCCTTGCTGAGTTCCTTTTGAGTTAGTGTCTTTATTCCTACATGACACCCCAACATCTTGAGAAAACTTTTTCTAACATCACTTAATAATGTGGTCCCAGTGTCACCCCGTAAAAGCTTGCTAGAATTGCCCAATCCTGGCTGTGCAGACTCAGATACTCCTTAATAGCCATCCATCTCGCTCTCCAGTGTGTGCCTAGTAAAATGGAGGGTGGAGGGGTGCTTCAACCCCAGGCACTGCACAACTCCTGACTGAGATCTATAGCTGTAATCAAAACTGTTACTTTATTTAGTGTCTGTGGTAGATTCTCTTGCTTGTTTGGCTGGGTGAGCTACCCTTTGGGCCATGCCTCCAACCCTGCATTTTTTTGCTGGTTATTTTGGGGAATGAGTCTTAAAGACGTTTCAGTCTGTAATGGCTTGCCTCAGACCAATATTGTTCAGCTCTCAGCCTTATGAGTAGCTAAGGATGACAGGCCTGAGCATCTGCATTTCTCATAGGCTTCCTGAAGTGCCAGGGATTCTGGTCAAAGTACTCCACTTTCCTCCTTGCTCTAAAGCATCTTGCTGTATACTTGACTCCACAAGGCTGTCAGAGCCGGAGGCTTATGTCTTTGCTTCCTCTGTGCCTGCCATTACTGAATATTGTGACTGGCTCATGCCCTAGCTACAGACATTTAATTGAACAGACTATGGTTTGATTATAATCCTTCAGCTGGACTTGGTGAGGTAGGCCTGAAATCCCAGCACTTGGGAGGCTGAGGGAGAAGGATCACGAGTTTGAGATACATTGAGTTATATATATTAAAAAAAAACAATCAAGGCTCTGTCTCTAGGCACTGCTTGCGTGTATGTGCATGCCCATAAACAGACACAGACACACACAGACACACATACACAAGCAACCAAAATTCCAATCAGTGCAAGAATGAGCTGATTGAACTAGCACAGAATGGAAGGGAAGAGATATCTCACCCCACATTTATTGGGAAAAATAAACTTCGACGATGGCTTAAGATATTTTTGCTTCAGCAGCACATTTACTGATAAACAAAAGAACAATGTGTATCACACAAAAGAACAATGTGTATCACTTTGTTAGAGTGTTTTGTTGTAAACATATTTATTCAAAACATGGGCCACATCATAGAAAATGCTCATAATACAAAAATAATCTATATTAACAAAAATTATCTACAAAATCAAGGGATCAAGCTCACTTCAAGTTTTAGCACCACCATATACTACTGTTAGAGCTAACACAGAATCAGGTACATGCTTTATTTCAAACAGGACAAAGTGCCTTCCCATATTTACAGGAAATGGGCTGGTCTGTTCCAGACTGCTCATTAGAAGTCAAGGGTCATCCACGACCACCATGCACACATTTTGTAAAGAAGGGCCTTAATTGAGCTCTACTCTGTGGGTAAGAGTAGTTCTTACTTTTAAAGAGAAAGAAAACAAAATTTGGGACAATCATTTCCAGGTCCTGTTGCTCAGTCTCCTGAGTGCCTTTTACTTTCTCTGCTACATCAACTCTTTACAACTGTGAAAAAACAAAAAAAAATTCTCCGAACCAGGTGATGCTTCAGGAGTTGGCCATGATCGTTATAATTCCTTTTTTCTCTTTTCTTTTAAAAATACATTTTCAACACGCAACTTTTCTGTCTCCTGTAAGTAATTTTAAAAAAGAAAGGAGGAGAGGGGAAAGGAGGAAAGGAGAGGGGGAAGGAAAAAAAAAAATCAAGGCTCTAAGTTCTTATAGAGAGTACTATTCTTCTTGACATTAATTATGTGTCAAAATGCAAATACTATATTTGTTAATTAACATAAGACAATGGCATCTAGGAATAAGGGATATAGTTCAATGTGCATACTAATCACCCAAGCCACATCCCCAGCCTAGACCTTGGGTTTTGATACCTAGCATTTCATGGAAAAAAAAAAAAAAATCTTTGAGAATTTAACTGAATAACATTAGAATAGCAGTGACTAACATTTTTAAAAAATCAAGACATTCTTTGAAATTCTTGAAAGCTAAAGTAAGAGTTAACTGATTTAATTATCACTTTTTGTTTTTTTCATTATAAAGGCAGGATATTGTTTTGTAGCCCAAGCTAGCTTGGAACTTTCAACATTCCAGTCTCAGCCTCCCAAGTGCTGGGATTATGGGTGTGTGACACTTTGCCCAGCTTAAACAGTAAGTTTTTTTGATTGATTGAGGGAGTAGGGCCTCAACTCAGGGACCTGTGTTTAATAGGCAAGCCCTCTAACCACTGGACTCATATCCCCAGCCCTAACTCTATTTTTGCTGAAACGATCACTTTGAAAAGAGTGGTAAAAAACTGAGAATGTTTTCAGAGTTTACCTCAGCAAGCCTGACATTTTCTTTCTTCAGCCGCACTACATACTGAATCTTCTGATGTAGGTTTTGGTGACCGACCAATTTTCCATTTTCTTCTGAGAGATAGTTGACTTGCTTCCGCAACAGTTCTATCTCCTTCAGGGAAATCAATCCAAGAAAGGGAAAATGAGAAACTGGACATAATTTCTTTTCTTTTTCTGCTGGTAGTGGAGGGCCTGGGTACTGTCCCTTAGCTTTTTCACTCAAGAGTGGTGCTCAACTTCTTGGTTCACACCTCTGCTTCTGGTTTTTTGGTGGTTAATTGGGAGATGAGTCTCATAGATTTTCCTGCCTGAGCTGGCTTTGAGCCTCAATCTTCAGCAGCCTCCTGAATAGCTAAGATAACAGGCATGAGGCACCAAGCCCAGCCAAAATTTTTCTTTAAAAAATTTTTTTTAATTATTATTTTTTTATTGTGAAAATACTGTACAGAGGAGTTACAATTACACGGGCAAGATAATGAGTATATTTCTTATCAAGCATTGTAGCCTCCTCCTTTGTTTCCCCTACCCATCATCCCCCCACCTTCCCCAACCCAATCCTCCTCCGTGCCCTCCCACCACCAAAGTTGTATAGGGAAGGGAAAAAACAAATCGTTTAAATAGGGATAGAGGTGGATCCATCGCAACAATGAGATGTACAAGTTGTTATGTTATTGATCAGTTGTATTTATTTAAATATGCAAAAGTACTGTGGAACACGAACACACCTGTAATGTTCTGTCTCTCTCTTCATACATCTCTTCCAGTTTTGATCTCAGTTGTTCCTTTTCCTGGAATGCTTTAGACTCCAAAGTTCTGGTCCGCTCAACTTCCTCACTCATCCGAAGACATTCCATCTCCTTGCTGTGCAGGGCATTTTGGATTTCTTCTAGACTATAAGTATAAACATCACTTCTCAGTATTCCACGGAACAGAATGACAAGACATCACTCAAGTTAAATCTCTCCAGCTTAGACTTCTGATTTGAAAAAGTATCAGTAATCTTCAGCTCTCCTGTAAAGTTGCCAAAGAAGATACCTAGGATTTTGGGAGTAGCTCAGTGCTGGGGTGCTGGCATGCGTAAGGCACTGGCTTCTATCCCCAGCACTGGGGAAAAATTGCCCAACAGGAACAGTGCGTGTGGAATGGGATATTGTCTACTGCAATGAAATAATACACAAAACTTAATGCACTAGTTCCACTTTTGGCTCTGTGTTGGTTAATTGGAAATAAGAGTTTTGGGGAGTTTTCTCCCCAGGAAGGGTTTGAACCACAGTTCTCAGATCTCAGCCTCCTGAGTGAGGTGTGAGCCACTAATAAATGCCTTACGCATACACTTTTTTTTTTGGGGGGGGGGGTGCGGGGAGAAGAGGGGAGGGTCGTGGGCTTGAACTCTGGGCCTCAGTGCTGTCCCTGAGCTCTTCAGCTCCAGGTTAGCACTCTACCATTTGAGACACAGCACTATTTCCACTTTTCTGGTTGTTATTTGGAGGTAAGAGTTTCACAGACTTTCCTGCCTGGGCTAGCTTTCAACTGCGATCCTCATATCTCAGCCTCCTGAGTTACTAGGATGACAGGCGTGACCACGGTGCCCAGCCGTATGTACTTATTTCTTTATGATATTTTTAGGGCACCTTTACACTAAAGGATTCCCTTGAGCAAGTGGCATCAGGAAAATAATTTTGTAAACATTAATTATGTTCACATATACACAGAAGGAAAGAAATGACATACCTCGTGGATGTATTTCCCATTAGGAAAGAATAAAGACATTATTATCAAGAATGTGGACTACAAAATAGCACACTTACTTTTTTTTCATTTTCAGCATTTCTTCAAAAATTTTACTCTATAAATAAGAAAATTTGAAAAATTTAAAACAACATTAAAAAGATGGTTGAATTGGGGGTCTTGAATTTTTATTTTGTTTTGCTTTTTGAGATAGGCTTTAACTATACAGCCTAGGCTAGCCTCATATTCAAGATTCTTCTGCCTGCTAGGATTACAGGCATGTAACACTATGCTGGCTTATTCTTTCATGAAGCCTACTCTTCTTGTTAATAAAACCAGTGTCCTTTTCTATAATCCCAGCTAGACCCATACATACAAAGGTGCCAATACACAAGCTTCCAGGTGCTATGATCCAATTAGTTTCCCTGCTTGTTCTACATGTCACAGTATCTGTGGGCATCCCGAAGAAGCATGAAGACACACACCTCCTCTTCCTTCTTAGCCATGTGTAAATACTACAGGTACATATCAGGCTAAATAGCAGGGTTGCAGAGAAGACCGGCTTTCAATGGAAAAATGACTTTCAAAATAAATAAACATATATGTTAAAATTAATTTTCTTTGGTGCTAGAACTGTGGCTTGAACTCAAGGCCCTGGCACTGTTCCTGAGGTGTTTTGTTGCTCAAGGTTGGCTCTCTATTGTTCAAGCCACAGTTCCACTTCTGGCTTTTTGGTGGTTAACTGGAGATAAGAGAGCCTCTAGAATTTGTCTGGTGGAGCTGGCTTCAAACCGGGATCCTCAGATCTCAGACTCCTGAGCAGCTAGGATTATAGCAGTGAAGCACAGACATTAGCTATAAATGTTAATTATAAAGCATTTTTCCCAGAAAAAAACTACTGCATAAAAATACCATACATTAGCAAGACTTTCTCTGATGACATCTTCTTCACTCTCCAACTCTTGGTCGTTTGGATAATTCTGATCACTGCAGATGAAGGGGATAGATAGGGTTATCCAGTCAAGTCTATTTAAGGATCAATTTCTACCTTATGCACGGCAATGCCAAATTATGTGAAGAGAAGCAACATGATTAGGGCCCACCCATGAGCAGTATATATATGGTGAAGGATCTTCCCAGAAACCAACTCAAATATCTCCCAGCACAACAGCAGTATCAAGCCGGGCGCCAGTGGCTCATGCCTATCAGTCTAGCGGCTCAGGAGGCTGAGAGCTGAGGATCATGGTTCAGAGTTAGCCCAAGCAGGAAAGTCTATGAGATTGTTATCTCCAATGAACCACCAAAAAATCCACAAGCAGAGCTGCGGCTCAAGTGGTAAAGCGCTAGCCTTGAGTAAAAAAGCCTTGAGGTTCAAGGCCCAGGACTGGTGTGCCCACACATGCACACACACAAAAGGAAGAGTGAACATGAGGCAGGTTAAGAGGGCAGGCCAGCGCTGGCACGAACTAGAAAGGGGTTTTGGCTTGTGGCAGCTATGTTTCATTGGTCCCACACTCGCCTGACACCTTGGAGCCTCCAATTTCTTTTTGCTTCCATTCTCTCATCATTTACCATTTTCCATTGACTCCTGTGGAGTCGCTGGGGCATAGCTCAAGTCCCAGACATGAATTTCTTGGTGGAGAAGGAATGTTCCATAAAGAAGGCAAGACCAGCACCCTGTGGATGGCACCCACATCACGCAGAGCCACCCAGTCAGGAGAAGCTGAGCTGTGTGGGCAGTCCTGGCGCTGGTGAGACAATCTCTTCTCCTCTTGGAGAACCTGCCTGAATGCCATGGGCTTCTCTAGATGTGTCTGATGCAATCTCTTCACACAACTAGACTCAGGCAGGTCGAGACGATTCCACTGAGTTCTGGTGGCTTTTTCTCACCTGCTCTCCTTCTGTCTTTTAATATTATCCAGCTGGCCTTGAAGGAGCCAGTTTTTGTCTCTTAACTGCTGGGACTCCAGGCGTAGGTTCTCCATTTCACACAACTGCTCCTAAGAACACACCAAATCATGCCTTTCAGAAAACACCTGGGGAAGGCGGGTGCTGGGGGCTCACGCCTATGATCCTAGCTGAGATCTGAGGACAATGGTTCAAAGCCAGCCTGGGCAGGAAAGACCATGAGACTCTTATCTCCAATAAGCCACTCAGAAAACCGGAAGTGGTGCTGTGGCTCAAGTGGTAGAGCGCTCGCCTTGAGTTGAAGAGCTGAGGGACAGTGCCCAGGGCCAGAGTTCAAGCCCCACGACCGACAAAAACAAGCAAAAAACAAGAAAACACATGGGGAGTACACTGTAACATATACTCTACACTACACCACACGACAGATAATGTGTGCCTCTCTCCCTATGACCAAGGCAGATACTCTTCATCTAGGTTCCTTTTCTGCACATAAAACTACCGGGGATCATTGGATAAAATACAGACCGTAACAGCCTCTGGAGATCGAAAAATGATTCATAATCATACCCACAGTGCCTTGAACATAAGATTAATGTGTATTAATGTTTACCAGAAGTTTTGGGGTGGTAGAGCACTAGCCTTGATCTGAAGCACTCAGGGACAGTGCCTAGGCCCACAACCAACCAACAAAAAAAACGTGCTAGAAAAAAAAAAAAATTACCCAAATACCTTCATTCTGAGGATGTCAGCATTTTTGATTTCTCGGTCTTCATTTAGTTTTGTTACAAGGTATTGCAAAGTCTTTAAGTCTCTTCCATCTTTGATCTCGTGTTCCTGTTGTGTTTCCATGACTTTCATCAAATGTGTTTGAAAGTGAGGGGGTGTTTTAGGACTCTAAAGACAAAGAAAATTTGATCTTAACCAATGACAATAAAGATTTCATTTTAAATCTATACATCCAACACACAGAATGGGCTTTTCAATGTATATTCCAAGTATCTAGTACACAGGATATGCCCAGACACAAGCCAATTCGCTTAGTATTCTAATTCTTATCCAAGACACAAAAGACTGCTACCTTTATCAAATGGAAAGCAGACTCATGTTAGGGAGTTAAAAAAACTCTTCATATAAAGATACAGTCTTAAGCCAGGTGCCAGTGGCTCACACCTGTAATCCTAACTACTGAGGAGGCTGAGGTCTGAAGATCGTGGTTCAAATCAGGGAAGTCTGTGAGACTCTTAGCTCCAATTAACCACCAGGAAACCAGAAGTGGAGCTGAGGGCGCAAGTGATAGAGAACTAGCCTTGAGCTAGAGAGCTCAGGGCCAGAGTTTTCAAAAAGATTTTTTGAAAAGTACCTGAGGGGAAGGGTGAATATGGTTTCAGTACTTTACATGCATGTATGAAAATAAAACAAACCTGTTGAAATTGTTTTAAGGAACAGGGAAGCTGGATAAGGGAGAATTGGAGGGGCTGAGTTTGATTGGGGTACATGGGTGTGTGTATGGAAAATGTCACAACACTGTACAATATACACTGATTAAAAACGTTTCCAAAGACTAAAAGAAAGGTACCTGGGTAGCAGAATCTATCACTACTTCTTCTTCTGTGAAATTATGCTCGTTGTTTTTCTGCTCTACTTCCTGTTTCGTTTGGTTTAGCTAGGAAGAGGTTACAAGTTAGGCACACATGGGTCCAATTGGCAAAGACAAACTTCCCCATCATCAAAGCAAAACCACAAAGAAGTATCAAGGTATCATCTCATATCTGCTAGCATGGCAACTTATAAAAAAGATGAGAGAGATGCATGTAGAAAATAGGGAATGTGGACTGGGAAGGTGGCTCAGTGGTAGAGTGCTTGCCTTGCATGCCTGAGGCCCTGGGTTCGATTCCTCAGCACCACATAAGCAAAAAGAAAAAGCCGGAAGTGGCGCTGTGGCTCAAGTGGTAGAGCACTAGCCTTGCGCTGAAGAGCTGAGGGACAGCACCCAGGCCCAGAGTTCAAGCCCCACGACCAGACCCCAAAAAAATAAAATAAAATAAAATAAAAAATAAAAAAAATAAAAAAAGAAAATAGGGAATGTTCGGGCACTATCTGACCATGGAAATTAGTACAGCCCTTGTAGAAAAACGGCATGGAGGCTCCCAGCAAAATTGACCAGAACGAGAACCACCATATGAGCAGTGATCTTATTTCTGGGTGTGTACTCAAAGAAATGGAAAGAGTATAATTCCTACGTTCACTGCAATTTATCTGTAAGTCAAAGTACAGAGTAAATCTAAATGGCCACTGATTAAAAAATAAATGAGTAAAGTATATATGGTATGTCTACACAAATGAATACTAAGCAGCCTTTATAAAGGAGCCAAGTGTCATTTGCAGTATCTTCCATGGATAATATTAGGCTAATTAGAACAAGACTCAATACACGTGAGTGGATCTGAGTTCACAGCCCATAGTGTATCTACAAGATTCACAATCTAGTCCATGAAGCTGTCATTCCATATGTGCAGAAGTAGACAAGGCATTAGGAATGCCAGGACCGCCTCCACCGTGCCTCTCACCTCATGTCGCAGTTCCTGGATCAGGGCCTCCTTCTTGGTCAGCTCTTCCTGGGCAGACTGCAGCAGCACCGAGTGCTTTTTTGAGGCCTCCGTGAGCAAATTCAGCTGCTCAGTGGCATGGGCCAGATCCTCACAGACCATGTCTCTCTGTTAGGGAACCATCACAAAAAAGACTTTTTTTTCTTCTTTTTCATTGTGGTTTTTGAGTGCCAATACTAGAGCTTGAACTCAGGGGCTGGGTGCTGTCTTTTGTGTTATTTTTTTTTTTGCTCAAGGCTAGCACTCTACTACTTTTAGCCATCCCTCCACTTCTGGTTTTTTGGTGGTTCAATGGAGGTAAGAGTCACAAGGACTTTCCTGCCCAGGCTGGCTTTGAACCGCAGTGCTCAGATCTCGGCCTCCTAAGGAGTTAGGATGACAGGCGTGAGCCACCAGGTCCTGGCATCAGGGTCAGTTTTAACACTGTAATACACCTACGGTGGAATGCATACTGTTCCTGTGTTTCTTCCATTCCCAAATGCTAGGTCAAGTAGAGACTGTACAGTAGCTATTTATAAACAAGCATTGTGGACCTTGGTCTCTAGTTAACAATTTCATAAGAAAGCCTTACTCTAAAGCAAATGAGGAAGAGTATACACAGAATGCCATCTGTGTGGCTGGGCGCTGGTGGCTCACACCTGTCATCCTAGTTACTTAAGAGACTGAGGTCTGAGGATTGCGGTTCCAAGACAGCCCAGGCAGGAAAATCTGGGAGACTCTTATCTCCAACAATCTACTCAGAAAAAACCAGAAGTGTCACTGTGGCTCAAGTGGTAGAGCACTAGCTTTGAGCACAAAGAGGCTCAGGGACAGTGCCCAGGCACTGAGTTCAAGCCTCAAGACCAGGGGGGAAAAAATCTGCATGAAAACAAAACCCTAGCCGGGCCCTGGTGGCTCATGCCTGTCATCCTAGCTACTCAGGAGGCTGAGATCTGAGGATCATGATTCAAAACCAGCCTGGGCAGGAAAGGCTATGAGACTCTTATCTCCAATAAAGCACTTAGAAAACCGGAAGTGGAGCTGTGGCTCAAGTGGTAGAGTGCTTGCCTTGAGCTGAAGAGCTGAGGGATAGTGGTCAGGCCCAGAGTTCAAGCCCCACAACCAACAAAAACAAAAAACATAGTAAAAATATACAGAACCAGCCTAAAATATCTCTTGAAGAACACATAAGAAATGGGCAACATTAACTAGGTCAAGGGAAAGTGAAGCACAGGGCAGTGTCTGGAACACAATTTTACTGTTATCTCTTTAAGGCTTGACCTCCCTTGGGAAGTAACCATTAGCTAATTCTTCATTATAATTAGTTATTAAGATCATCAGTGCTACTAAGGACATTAATAAAATTAATTATAAAATAACAATTGAGATAGTTTATTACTACTATAATTACTAATTACTCCTTTAAAAAAAAAAAATCTTCCATGTAACTGATAATAAGGCCAAAATAGTTTGTGCCATATTAAGGCCTACCTCAAGGTCCTCAGAGAATATTCTCAGCCGAAGGGTTTCTTTCAGGTCTAGAATATCCGCTTCCTGTTTCTTGATCAAATCTTTGCTCTCTTCTTTCTCAGCCAAAGCAGAGTTATATTTGCACTGCAGGAAAAAGAGTCATGATACAAGAGCTGTCTACTTTTTATGTTAATCTGTATATTAAAACAACTAAGAAGGGGCTGGGAAGGTGGCTCAGTGGTAGAGCGCTTGCCTTGCATGCCTGAGGCCCTGGGTTCGATTCCTCAGCACCATATAAGCAAAAAGAAAAAAAGCCGGAAGTGGCGCTGTGGCTCAAGTGGTAGAGCGCTAGCCTTGAGCTGAAGAGCTGAGGGACAGCGCCCAGGCCGAATTCAGGCCACACGACCGGACCCAAAAAAAAAAAAATAAAATAAATAAAACAACTAAGAAGCCAGATGCCGGTGGCTCACACCTGTCATCCTAGCAATTTACGAGGCTTAAATCTGAGGATTGTGATTTGAATCTAGCCCAGGCGGTAAAGTCTGTGACATTCTTTTTTTTGTTTTTTGCCAGTCATAGGGGTTGAACTCAAGGACTGGGTGCTGTCCCTGAGCAGGTCCTTTTGCTAAAGGCTAGGGCTCTACCACATTGAGCCAGAGCTCCCCTTCCTGTTTTGTGGTGTGTGATTGGAAATAAGTCTCGCAGACTTTTTTTCCCAGGCTGGCTTCAAACCTCAATCCTCAGATCTCAGCCTCTTGAATTGCTAGGACTACAGGTGTGAGCCTCTAGCACCAGCTGCAAGATTCTGATCTCCAATTAACTACCAATAAGTAGAGCTGTGGTTCAAGTGATGAAAGGCTTGCCTTGGGGGGAAAAAAGTTCAGAGACAGCAAGGCCCCTAGACAACCCTCTCTCTCTCTCTCTCTCTCTCTCTCTCTCTCTCTCTCTCTCTCTCTCTCTCTCTCTCTCACACACACACACACACACACACACATACACAAAGAAACCAAAATCAACAACAATACTGTGCGTTTCAAGCTGATGACAAGATTCATACAAATTAATTTAATTTTATTTGTAAATCAAAGAATGGAAGTATAAATGCATGTGGAAAAGAGAAATGGAGAAATTTCAGTGGTATGCATACATAAAGCATGTGTTTTTTGTCATCTTCAGGAGACTGCCTGTAGAAATAAAGGTGGGGCCTGGGCCATCAATCCCTGACTCATCTCAGGATTTGCAAGTATGCCCCAGTGGCCCATGGAGGGTCCCTGCCCACAGAGTCTGCCAAGAGAGCGCCTTAGGCAGGAACTATAGCAGGCTCGCCTGAAGCTGGGAATTGTGTGTGTGCCCCACAGCTGGGGGAGCAGACTCTGCCCATAGAGAACTGCCAGGATTGGGAACTCCAGCTGCCCGAGCCCCTGGTCCCTGACTGACTCTGGGAATCAGGTTGGGGCCACACAACCAGTGGGAGCATGCCCCGCCCACCAGGATCAACCAACAGTATGCCTTAGGTAGGACTCGAGCTGCCTGGGCCACTAGCCTTTCTGAAGCAGGGAATCACATGTGAGCCCCAGCAGCCCGTGGAGTGCCTCCCACCCTCGGGGAATTGCCAACCTAGTGTGCCCTGGGTAGAAACCCAAGCGGCCAGGGTCACTGGCCTCTGAGTGGAGCGGGGAATGGCACGTGAGCTCCAGCAACTGGAGGAGTCCCCTCAGCCTGCTGGGAACTGACAAGCAAGTGTGCTCCAACTGGGATCCCAAGCCGCCTAGGCCACTGGATCCTGACTGGTACCTCGAAACACGTGCATGCTCCAGCCGCAGTAGGATCACCCACCAACACTGGGAGCCGCCAAGAGAGTAGGCACGGTGGCCCTAAGGCTAGGCGACCCACTGGGAACCAGCCCGGGCCAAGCAAGGGCTCCCACCTGTTGGACACCAACCAGCACAGCTGGGCCCACAGACATCACAAATCCTGAAGCCAAATACAAGATTCCTGAACAATCAAGACAACAGACCTAACCCAAAAGCCTGCAGCAACCCAGGAAAGAGCACCAGTGAGAGTGAAGAAGAAACGGAGGACAGAAGATCAGTTAAAGAGATGATGGCAGAATTGGCCAAAGAAACAAAGGTGAGACAAAACAGCAACTTCAAGAGCACAAGAAGAGAAATACCCAAGGAATTCCAAGACCTAAAAACAAAATGCAATCAAAAATAGATGCAGTAAAACCTCGTAAAAGAAGAAAGCGACACTTTGAGAACAGGTATTGACACCATAAATGGATCAATTTCTGTAATGCAAAACACAATGGAAGCCATTGGTAACGGAATGAATGAGATGTAAAATAGAACATCAGGAATTGAAGATAAAACAGGGGCTTGGGAGAAGAAAGTATTAGATATGGAAAAAACACTCAAATTACCAAAGGGAAGTCCAAGAACTGGCAGACAATGACAAGAAATCTAATCTTCATATAATTGGGATCAATGGAGAGGAATACCAGAATAGTGGGATACAACACTTATTCAATAAGATTTTTTTTTTTTGAGTCTGTTTGTGGGGCCTGAACTCTGGGCCTGGGCGCTGTCCCTCAGCTCTTCAGCTCAAGGCTAGCGCTCTACCACTTGAGCCACAGCGCCACTTCTGGCTTTTTCTGCTTATGTGGTGCTGAGGAATCGAACCCAGGGCCTCATGCATGCAAGGCAAGCACTCTACCACTGAGCCACCTTCCCAGCCCCTTCAATAAGATTATTACAGAAAATTTCCCCAATCTCAAAAGAGAAAACCTCACTCACATAACAGAAGCATACAAAACACCTAGTAGACAGGATCCTAGAAGAAACACTCCTAGACACATCACAGTAAAGACACTAGACCTGAACTGCAAAGAGCTGATTTTAAATGCTGCAAAATCAAAAAATGGAGCTATACGACAATGGAAAGAAAACCAGAATCACTGTGGACCTCTCTACACAAACCCTTAATGCAAGAAGAGCCTGGAAAAGTACCATCCAAGCCCTGAAAATAAACACTGCCAACCCAGACTGGTATATCCAGCACAGCTAGCATTCACATTCGATGGAGAAACTCTTCTTTTTTTTTTGTCGGTCATGGGCCTTGAACTCTGGGCCTGGGCGCTGTCCCCCAGCCCTTCAGCTCAAGGCTAGCGCTCTACCACTTGAGCTACAGTGCCACTTCCGGTTTTCTGGTGGTTTATTGGAGATAAGAGTTTCACGGACTAAACTTTTAATAAAAAAAAAGGAATTCACAAACAAGAAGCTAGCACTACAACATACACTAAAAGGAGGAATACAACCCAAAGAAAACAGTTAAGACCAGAGTACCACATCAGAAATCACTAGATCAATTGAGTAAGCACAGGAAAAGGAAAGAAGCAAGAAAATGGCAGGAAACACAACGCATCTCTCTATAATAACGATAAACACTAATGGACTCAATTCACCAATCAAAAGGAAAAGAACCACAGAGTGGATCAGAAAACATCCAGTGGAAGAAGCACAGCCTCTTCAACTATTGGTGCTGGGAAAACTGGGCAGCCACATGCAGAAGACTAAAAGTGAACCCCAGCCTGTCACTATGCACTAACATCAACTCCAAATGGATTAAAGACCTCGACATCAGACCTGAAACTCTGAAATTACTGCAGGACAGAGTAGGAGAGACACTAGAACTTACAGGCACAGACAGAAACTTCCTGAACAGAGTCCCAGGATCACAACAAATTGGAGAGACCCGACAAATGGGATTACCTTAAAATAAAAAGTTTCTGCACAGCTAAAGACATGGCTACCAAACTAGAAAGACAGCCAACCAATTGGGAAAAGTATTTACAGCAATATATCAGACCAAGGTCTAATATCCATTATATACAGAGAACTCAAGAAACGGATCCCTCCCAAATCTAACAAACCAATCATGAAATGGGTAAGGACACTAAAGAGAGACTTCTCAGAAGAAGAGATAAAAATGGCAAAGAAATGCATGAGGAAATGTTCATCATCCCTGGCCATAAAGGAAATGCAAATATAAATAACCCTGAGATACCACCATATCATAGTCAGAATGATCTATATCCTAAATTCAAACAATGACAAATGCTGGCGGGGATGCGGAGAAAGAGGAGCCCTATTGCACTGCTGGTGGGAATGTAAACTAATACAACCACTCTGGAAAAGTCTGGAGGTACCTCACAAAGCTAAATATAGACCTGCCCTATGATCCAGCCTTACCACTCCTAGGCATCTACCCTGAGCAACAGGAACAAGGAAATAAGGACACATGCACCTCCATGTTCATTGCTGCACTTTTCACAACAGCCAAGATATGTAAACAACCCAGATGCCCCACTACAGATGAATGGATCCGTAAGTTGTGTTACCTATATACAATGGGATATTACTCATCAATTAGAAAGAACAAAATAATGTCATTCTCAGGGAAATGGAGGGCACTAGAACACAAGTTGAGTAAAATAAGCCAAGAGCAGGGACACAAATGGCACATGGTCTCCCTGATATGCGGATGTTAAATCCAAAATGCTAGGAGATATGACAAAGTAAACAAGACTCAAGAAACAAAGGCCCTCTTCTTAATTTGTCATATTGTTTTTAGATGACTCTATGTTCTTGACCCCACAGATGGTATATAAATGCGCACATCTGAGGGAAGCTAGGAGGAGGGCACAGCATCAGAGGGAAACAATGAAAAAATACAGCAGAGGGGCCCATCAGCTGCATTGGACATTGATGGAAATGAACTAAGCAACTCAAAGGCAGAAATGGGAAGGAGGGAATGAGAGAAAAACAGGGAACAGCTTCCACTAAGCAAAAGGAAAGAAATGTACTATCACTCTATTTGGAAGATATAGTTGCATTGTCAACGTTTGTAGAGTTCACAAGCTTTTATAGACCATCATAATGACAATTCACCTTGTGAAGGTTGAAATGTGTTTGTAACTTTAGCTAAGTACCACTATCCCACAATATTGTGAAGTTTATGTAATCAATCTCAATAAAGCAACTTAAAAAAAAAGAAAGAAGTAAAGGTGGGGTAGCGAGCTCCCTTCAGAACACTACTAAGACACTGGTGGAAGCCTTCCCTCCACCCATGGAGGAAAAAAAGGGAGAGGCGAGGGGAAAGCTGAGACATTTGGCGACCTTCAGGGTCCCCCAAAGGTGTGTCTTCTGCACAATAAAAGCCTTGCAAGTCTTGGAAACCAACTGGGCATGAAGTAGTAGGGTTTTATTTTTGTTGTTGTTTTGCAAGTCCTGGGTCTTGAACTCCGGGTCTGGGCACTATCCCTAAGCTTCTTTTGTTTTCAAGGCTAGTGCTCTCTACCACTTGAGCCACAGCGCCAGTTCTGGCTTTTTCTGTGGATGTGGTACTGAGGAATCGAACCCAGGCTTCATGCATGTTAGACAAGCACTCTATCACTAAGCCACGTTCCCAATCCTGAAGTACTGCTTCTAAACTTAAGTCACAGAATTCCCACAGAGGGAAACAACTGTAAGACCCTTGAGGAGCTGGAGTATACACTCACGTCACTCAAGTTAACGTTCTGGTCACGGAACTTACATTTATATCCTTCAGTTCTTGCTGCAGGTTGTTGATGATTTCCGCTTTCTCACAGCCTGATGTTTTGAGCTCCTGGATCTGGTTCATGAGGTTGGCCACCACTTCCTGTTGAGGACAATAGACAGTTATCTTCATACCCAGTAACATGAAGATACTTTTTAAACAATCCATCACAGTATATCTTTCTTAATATAAGCCAGTTTTATTCTACCAAATATCAAATAACATCCAATTATTAGCAGCAATTTAGATTTCAATAGCTTTATGCTTTATGTGATGTCTCAAAGCTCTTTTTTTGTGTGTGCACAATTGGGGCCTGGGCGCTGTCCCTGAGCTTCTTTTTGCTCCAGGTTAGTGCTCTACCACTTGAGCCACAGCTTTACTACTCCTGGATTTTTGATGGTTAATTGAAGATAAGAGTCTCACAGACTTTTTTTTTTTGGCCAGGGCTGGCTTCCTCAGAGCTCAGATTTTCTGTGATCCTCAGATCTTAGCCTCCTAGGTAACTAGGAATTACAGCCATGAGCCAGCAGGCTCAGCAACAGCTCCTTTGGCACTTCTGGAAGCTGAGTAAGGCTTAGCTGGACGTGGAAGCAGACAATGGTGTAGGAGATTAGAGCACCAAACTAGCATTTACAAAGAAAATGCAAAAACAAAGCTAGGTGTGGTAGCCCATACCTATAATCTCAGGATTAGGGAGAGTTCAAAGCCAGACTGAGGCACATAAAGTCTGTTTCAATAAACAAACAGGGGAAGAAAGAAAATTACCACCTTACCTTGTCAGAATCTCTAGACTTTTCCAAAGAACTGATTACTTTTTCAGTAGCGAGCAAGCTCTGTTCTAGTTTCTGCACTTTCTCCATCTATGGGGGGAAAAAAACCAAGTTTTTAGAAAAAGAATTAAATCACATACATTAAAAAAATCAAAGTGTAAGCGGGCGCTGGTGGTTCACAACTGTAATCTTAGCTACTCAGGAGATTAAAATCTAAGGATTGTGGTTCAAAACCAACCCCCACAGAAAAGTCCCCATGAGACTCTTATTTCCAATTATCCATTAAAAACTGGAAGTGGCACTGTGGCTCAAAGTGGTAGAGCACTAGCCTTGAGCAAAAGCAACTCAGGGACAATGCACAGTTCAAGCCCCTGGATGGGCAGGGTGTTGAGGAATGGGGAGAGGAAGGACATGATCATGGTATGTGTGATTTCAGATACTCAGGAGTGGTGGTTTAAGTCTGTATCTCAAGATAAGCCTAGCCTACAAATATATACTGAGATCTATACTGAAACCCTAGTCTCATAAAACTAAGAACGTAGCTAAGTGGTATATTGCTTGCCTAGATCAAGGGCAAGGCACTAGGTACAATCACCAAGACTGCAGGAAAGTAAACAAAGGAAGATAAACCTTCCATATTTTTAACTAATTTCCAACACTGAAAGAAAGCTGAAATAGGTTTTTTTTGGTTTTTTGTGGGGCTTGAACTCAAAGAGCCTGGATACTGTGCCTGAGCTTTTGTACTCTACCACTCTGAGCCACACCACCCCTTCTGGTTTTCTGGTGATTAACTGGAGGTAAGAGTCTCATGGACAGCTGGGTGCTAGTGGCTCACGCCTGTAATCCTAGCTACTCAGGAGGCTGAGGTCTGAGGATCATGGTTCAAAGCCAGCCACCAGCACCAAACAACTGAAAGTTTTTTATAACAAATCTCTGTAGATACCAGGAAAAAAATTAGTTACAGCCTTCACAACAAATTCTAGAGTCAGAAAAATAGGAAATTCACCTGTTGTTCACACTTGGCCATTTCTTTCTGTTTCTCTTGACGTACAGTTTCAAGAACTTTTAAGATTTCCCTGGAAGAAAACAATTATAGTTTAGTTTTTTGTTTGTTTTTATGATGTTGGTCTTGGGGCTTGAACTCAGGGCCTGGGCACTGTCCCTGAGCACTTTTGCTCAACTATCGCTCTACCAGTTGATCCACAGCCCTACTTTCAGCATTTTTGGTGCTTAATTTGAAGGTAAGAGTCTCATGGACTTTCCTGCCAAGGCTAGCTTCAAATCATCCTCATATCTTAGCCTCCTGAGTAGCTAGGTTTATAAACAGAAGCAACTGGTAACTAGCATCCTTTATCTAATTTCAAGTAATGGCAACAGGAATCAAGTTAGTTCAGGTGAACTTAAATGCAATGTGAATGAACTTTATTAGGCACATCCTCAGCAATGGGCAGAGGATAGTCTGAGTGTTCCTATTTCTTCAGTGAGAACCTATTTTTATGCCAGAACTTTTTTCACCGAAGTGTGTACTACTCAATACAATATGTAAAAACATATAGGATGTATTTATTATTGTCTTCTGTGCTAGAAGCTAAATTCCTTGATCACAGCTTCACTGCTATAACATTCTAGCATTCACCATAGTACCACCTAGCTTGTTGGCTATGAATGAGACAATGCTAACTATCTCGCTAGATATATGATCTCTATTTACCTCTGCATTATCAGGACCTAGAAGAGCTACCCTATCTTTAAGTATTGAATGAAGGAACAAATAGTTCTCTTTAGCAGTTGTAAAACTACTAGTTGATTTTCTGAGATTACTAAGGAAAAGAAGTTGGAGAAGGGGCAGAGTATTCCAGTAAAGGAGCCTGGAAAACACAAGAGAAAGAACAAGGAGAATTCTGGTGTTGGTGGCTCATGCTTATAACGCTATACTCAGGAGGTTAAAATGTTGATATTAGGGGCTGGGAAGGTGGCTCAGTGGTAGAGCGCTTGCCTTGCATACCTGAGGCCCTGGGTTCGATTCCTCAGCACCACATAAGCAAAAAGAAAAAAGCCAGAAGTGGTGCTGTGGCTCAAGTGGTAGAGCGCTAGCCTTGAGCTGAAGAGCTGAGGGACAGTGCCCAGGCCCAGAGTTCAGGCCCCACGACTGGACCAAAATAAAATAAAATAAAATGTTTATATCAAGGTTCAAAAGCCAGCATGGACAGAAAAGGCCATGAGACTCATCTCCAGTTAACCACCAAAAGCCAGAAGTGAAGTTGTGGCTCAAAGTAGTAGAGTGCTAGCTTGAGCAAAAGAAGCTCAGGGACAGTACCCAGACCCTGAATTCAAGGCCTATACCTTACCAAAAACAAAAAAACAACAGGTGGGATTATCTTATTCAACCTAATAGACCCAAAATGTGATCATTTCAACATGTAGTCAATATAGAAGGTTCTTTGTGCCTAGTGTGGTGGTGCATGCCTGTAGTCCCAGCATTTGTGGAGGTGGAGGCAGGAGGACTGCTCGTTTGAGGCAAGCCTGGGTTACATTTAAGTTCTAGGCACTATTTAGCACTAAATCTCAGGGCGGTGCCCAGGCCCTGAATTCAAGCCCCAGGATTGACGCACAAACACAATAAAAAAGCAGGTAAAAGAAAATCTGGGGGCTGGGAAGGTGGCTCAGTGGTAGAGCGCTTGCCTTGCATGCATGAAGCCCTGGGTTCGATTCCACAGCACCACATAAGCAAAAAGAAAAAAGCTGGAAGTGGCGCTGTGGCTCAAGTGGTAGAGTGTTAGCCTTGAGCTGAAGAGCTGAGGGACAGCGCCCAGGCCCAGAGTTCAGGCCCATGACCGGACCCAAAAAAAAAAAGAAAATCCGTGGCAAAAGTCACACCCAACTTCCCAGTAATAGAAACATGGTTACAAGTCATATCATATATACTCTAACTTATTTAAAGAAGGTACTGAGTTCTGATTAGTACCTACCATAAACTAGTTATTAAATGCTTTGAAGAAAGTAGGTTTTTTAAGTATAGTCATTTGTACGAAATAATCTGTGATTCATTTTGGAATGCTTTGAAAGAGAATCTTTTTGTTTTTAATTGTTATTCAGCTACATACTCAGCTGAAGTAACTTTTCACAGTGATACCAAGGGAAAAAAATCAACAAGGTGAAGTGTTGAAGTCATGAGTAATATTCTAGCATCAGCCAATGGAATGATCAATAGCACTCACTTTGAATTGTTTTCTTTGTCTTCTTCAAACTGTAATGATAATTTGCTGTTGCGTTCTTTCTCTGCCTCAAAAAGCTCCATCAAATTCTAAAAGACAAGCTCAGATTAGATTAAATGACTATGACGAGCCATGTAGAGTCAACATGCATGGTGAGTACCTTGTGGGCCACAGGTACTGTGGTCAGTACAAAAAGGTACAGAGTGCTCAGGACAGTTCCTGCCTTTCCCCCTAGAGGGCAGCCACAGACCCATGACACACACACTACCCTTTCTCGCTCACATTCAGGTCCATTTTCAAAGTTTCATTTTCTTGTTTGCAGTTCTGTAGGTTTTTTGAAAGCTGGTCGATTTCAAACTTCATGACTTCTTGTAAGTTTTCGTAGGAATCCTGTAGGCAGGCTTGGTTCTCAAGAAGCTTTTCATTTTCCAACCTTTACCAGGAAAACATTTTCAAGGGGTAAAGAGAAACATTAAATATCTTTCAGCCAGTTAGGTGATCCACAATATAATCTATTCCATCAGCAGATCATTCCTCATTCAAGACTAGACATAAAGCTCCTGGAGGACATTAAACGAAAGATACATGGCAGCTATTTGAGAGCAGTTTGGTGGGGATGGACAGCCTCCAGCCGGCCACTTCTTCATCCTTTCTCATGAGGCTTCGTCCATGCAGGCATAATTGGTAATCCAGGGTGACTAAACAAGTACCCTAAGCAGTAAGCACTAATTTCCAAGTTTTGTCGATAGCTCAACTCTAGCCAATGCGTATCCATTCTTCCAACTCTAGGAAGATTTCTGTAAAATGAAGGTTCTAATCTGAGCAAGAGGGAAATTCTCTCAGCAAAGAATGATGTATGGCTTTTTCTGTTTTTATTCTCTTGTCCATCTCGAATACGTTGTGATGACATCCATGCATCAGCCAAGAATGAATGAAAATCTGATCACTACCCTATGCAAAATAGATGCCTTGGTTTATACACAGAAAGTTATTAGATATGGAGCTATCTACATTATTCAAATATGACAAGAATCAAATTACAAAGAGTAAATTAGATGCTAGAAGATAAGTAGCAGAAAATGGGAATACACACATGTACCTCTTGTATACAGTAGGTAAAAATATTCAATAAACATGTGGTATTTGCCAGATGCCAGTGGTTCATGCGTGTAATCCTAGCTACTCAAGAGGCTGAGATCTGAGGATTTTTTTGAAGCCAGCCCAGGCAGAAAAGTCCCCGTGAGACTCTTATCTCTAGTTAACCACTCAAAAATCAGAAATGGTGCTGTGGACCAAGTGGTAGAGCATTAGCTTTGAGCACAGAGGCTCAGAGTCCAGGCCCTGAGTTCAATCCCCACAACCAACAACAACAAAAAAAACAACAACCACATACTAGTATACTGCTATTTCCTTCAGAGGTCTTAATAGCCTGAGTAACACACTGGAAAATAAATAATAAATGTAAATTAAATAAGAACGAGTAAATGAATTAGCCACTGCCAAAAACCACACATGTTATGTATTACATTCTATCCAATATAGTTAAAAAGCTAGGAGGTACATTAATACTTTAAGTATATAGCTAAATAAACATTCTTCCCCTCCTCCCCCCTTTTTTTTTGGTACCAGCCCTGGGGCAGGCTAGCCCAGACTACCACTTGAGCTAGAGCTCCATTCTGGCTTTTTGGTGGTTAATTACAGACAGATCTCGAATTATCTTAAGGAATATCCCACCTGGGCTGAATTCAAATTGTGATCCTCAGAGCTCAGTCCTGAGTAGCTAGAATTATATATAGGTGAGAGGCACTGGCACCTGGATTTTTTTTTATCTACTTACACTCTGGGAAGTCAACACAAGGAAATTAAAATACACTGAGATTACTAGTTGTTTAGAAAGAAAAAAAAAAGGTTACATAAAAATAGTCTGTGGCCAGGTGCCAGTGGCTTACTTCTGTAATCCTAGCTACTCAAGAGGCTGAGATCTGAAGATTTCAGTTTGAAGCCAGCCAGGGCAGAGAAGTCCATCACAGACTTTTTTTTTTTTTTTTTTGGGGGGGGGTCTGGTCATGGGACCTGAACTCTGGGCCTGGGCGCTGTCCCTCAGCTCTTCAGCTCAAGGCTAGTGCTCTACCACTTGAGCCACAGCGCCACTTCCGGCTTTTTTCTTTTTGCTTATGTGGTGCTGAGGAATCGAACCCAGGGCCTCAGGCATGCAAGGCAAGCGCTCTACCACTGAGCCACCTTCCCAGCCCCTTATGACAGTCTTATTTCCAAGTAATAACCGGAAAACTGGGATGGCACTGTGGCTCAAAGTGGTAAAGCACTAGCCTTGAGTGAGAAATCCCAGGGACAGTGTCCAGGCACGTTCAAGACCCACAACGAACCAAAACAAAAATAAAAACAAAAAACTTGGGGCTCAGAATGTGGCTTAATGGCAGAGTGCTTGCCTAGCATGCATAAAGCCTTGGGTTGGATTCCTCAGTACCACATAAACAGAAAAAGCCAGAAGTGGTGCTATGGCTCAAGTGGTAGAGTGCTAGCCTTGAGCAAAAGAAGCTCAAGGACAGAGCTCAAGCCCCAGGACTGGCAAAAAAATAAAAAACTAAAACTAAAACTAGTGTATAAAGGCAAGATTAGATTCAGTCATTCATAAGCTAAAGCAAATAAATGCCATGTGCAAGAAAAGACAGTATATCTTGTGATAATTACCAATAAATTACTGTTTGTCCCAGCAGTTTGAGTTAGGTTTACATCACTCACATTTCAAGTAGCTCAAGATTATAGCCAATCAGACATGGTGAATCACAACTCTACCTGACATTGTCGAGCTGAAGCTGAGCTTGCATGTATCTTTCAGAAAGTTGGCTGAATTCTTTCTCCTGACTTTCTTTGAATGAACTATACTCCATTTTCACCAAAGAAAGCTCCTTGTCAGCAGAATGAAGAACAATTCGCAGATCATGCGCCTCACTTCTCAAAACTAAAAAGCACATAAAAACAAATCCTCAAGAGAGTTCTTTTAGAGAGAGAGAGAGAGTGTGTGTGTGTGTGTGTGTGTAGGGGGGTGTCCTAAGGGACTGAAATCAGAGCCTGGGCAATATCCTTGAGCATTTTTGCTTAAGGTTAGTGCTCTACCACTTGAGCCACATCTCCACTTCTGGCTTTTTTGGTGCTTAATTGTAGATAAGAGTCTCACAGGACTTGCTGCTGAAACTGGTTTAGAAACGTGATCCACAGATCTCAACCTCTTGAGTAGCTAGGATTACAGGGTAAGTCACCGGACAGCTCAACACAGTTAATTAAAACTTCTTTTTTGGTTGGTCATGGGGTTTAAACTCAGGGCCTGGATGCTCTCCCTGAACAATTTTTGCTCAAGGCTAGCACTCTACCACTTTGGGCCACAGTTTCATCTCCAGTTTTCTGGTGGTTCACTGGAGGTAAAGTTTCACGAACTTTCTTGCCAGGGCTGCCTTTAACTGTGATCTTAAGATCTCAGTCTACTGAATAGCTAGGATTACAGACAGACGTGAGTCACCAGCACCTGGTTCAACACAGTCAATTAAAACTTTAAGCAATCCAGGTACCGGTGGCTTACCCTATTGTAATCCTAGCTACTCAGGAGGCTGAGATCTGAGAATCTTGGTTCAGTGCCAGCCGGGGCAGGGGCAAGAAAATTACATGAGACTCTTATCTCCAATAAACCACTTAGAAAACTGGAAGTAGCACTATGGCTCAAGCACTAGCCTTGAGCTGAAGAGCTGAGGGACAGCGCCCAGGCCTAGTTCAAGCCTCACGATAAAACTTTTCCACGCAAACTCAAGTCTGGTCGTCTGATGACAGTAACAAAAACATCCAAGCAACCAACCAACAACATATGGACATTCGGTTAGGTGACTGAAAAGCAGTGGCATTACTACATTCTTGCTGGTCACAAGATCCCAGGCTGCTCACACTTACAGTCATTCTTGGTCTGGGTATCTTGAAGCTGCTTTCCGAGGATATTCAAGTGTGAGAGGTGGTCGTGCTGCTGTTGGGCCCATGTGGTTCTTTCTGAAGAGAAGAGCTTTGGGGAAGCGACACGTTCCATTAAGACGGTGCATCGAACTGAGTTACCAGGGTCACACAATGCATGGACTCTGCGGGTGAGCCTCATGCTATTTGAGGCTGTGCTCCACACACACCTCTTTTTTTCCTTTGTATATTTTAATAATACTGTACAGAGGGGTTACAGTCACATGAGTAAGGTAATGAATACATTGGCTATCGAGCGTTGTTACCTCCTCCTCTGTTTTTTCCCTACCATCCCTTCCCTCCCCACCTTCCCAACCCCCCTTACCTCTTGCATCTGGGCAGAATGGTGCTCTAGCTTGTCAACCTGCTGTTGAAGCTTCAGGTTTTTATGCTCTTCTTCATCCAATTTCACTTGAAGAGCACTCATTTGTTCCTGCAACCCAACCCCAAACATTGAATTTGCAAACCTTTATGTTTTTTGGTTTTTTTTTTTTTTTTTTTGCCAGTCCTGGGGCTTGAACTCGGTGCCTGGGCACTGTCCCTGAGCTTCTTTTGCTCAAAGCTAGCATTCTACCACTTCAGCCAGCAGAATTCCTAGATTATCAAATTTCACAAGTTAGTTCAAATACATTAAAACCTGTCAAAATTTGCTCTATAGTAATATTCTGTAAAATATTCTCCTCCCTCTCTCCCTTCCTATCTTGCTTCATTTTTGAGACTCACGTTCCTACCATGTTTCCGAGGCTGCTCTTAAACTATAAATTCTCGTTCTTAGCCTCCTTAGTGCTACAATTACAGGTATGTACTACCATGTGCAACTGTACTTTTGACATTTCTTAACATATATAGCACTAGGTAAGTGAACCAATTCTGAACCTTGAAGCTAGTGGTAGCTGGCTATGTTTTACAAGAGGGAGTCAAAGCTCACAGAAGAGTGAAGGATAATTTGCTGAAGACTGCAAGAGAGCAAGAATGGCTGCAATCCAGACATGTGTAAAAATACACATACTTTAAATGATAATCTTAAATATATCTGAACACAATGAATTATACAGTTAAAAGAGTTAAATGATCAGAGTATCAGTTCCTCAAGCCTATAATCCTTGGTATTCAGGAGGCTGAGATCAGAGGTTTAAGATTTGAAGCTATCCCAGGCAGGAAAGTTCATGAAACTATAATTAATAAGCAGAAAGCTGGACCTGAAAGTGTAGCTCAGGTGGTAGATTACCCGCCTTGAGGGAAAAATCTTAAGAGTCCCTTAAAATTCAAGCCCCAGAACACACACACACACACACACACACACACACACACACACACGCTCAGACACACAAAAGGGGTGACATAGATCAAGATGAATTGTAGTTATTTAAATGAGTATTTAATAAATATTTAATAAATATTTTCTAAAACTAAAACATTACCTGTACTGTTCTAAGCTCTTCAGAAATGGCCTCAAAAGCTTGTTCACTCATCTCAGGCGGAATTGGCTCATTTAATATGTCATGAGTTTGCAAAGAGGCCACATTGCCCACTTCAGGGGTTAATTTTGGTCCTGGTTGTGAATGCAGTTGATAAGCCTTGGTTGGTGTAGTTATAATCTATAAATAAGCATTATGGAAAAGAATATTAGCATACATAGAAAACAGCATATTTTGTACATAAACACAAAGCATAAAAATTTGAATTGTTTCATTGGGAAAAGTGTCATTAAAAAGCAACATAGAAATGAGCTCATGAAAAATTTACAAAACAAAATGCAACTTGGTAAGTTGATATCTACATTCAAACAAGGAATAAAGGAACAAGAAGAGCTATGTATCTAATATAAAATTAGGTTACAAAAACATTATATTCACTTATTCAGTAGTTAGCACATTTGTAATCAAAGAGAACACTAGAAAACAATACAAAGTCCAGTATGGCCAGGTACCAGTGGCTCACAACTGTAATCCTAGCTACTCAGGAGGTTGAGATCTGAGGACTGTGGTTCAAAGCCAGCCCGGGCAGGGAAGTTCGTGAGTCTTATCTCCAATTAACCACCAGAAAACCAAACATGGCGCTATGGCTCAACTGGTAGAGCCTTGAGCTGAAGAGCTGAGGGACAGTGCCCAGGCCCAGAGTTCAAGCCCCACGAGATTATTTTTAAAGTTCAATCTCTCTATACCATTCAAGAATAAAACAGCTGGGCACCAGTGGCTCATACCTATCATCCTAGCTACTCAAGAGGCTGAGATCTGAGAACAGAGGTTTGAAGCCAGCTGGAGAGCCCATGAAACTCTTATCTTCAATTAACTACCAAAGTCTGCCCTAAAACATATAAATATGTAGAGAGAGTGAGAGAGCATTGCTTCACATAACCTACCTTAAGTGTTTCAGCATGAATTTTATTCAGTTGAGAAACTTCTTGCCGCTTGCAAGCTTTTGTTGCTTCCAAAAGGTTTTCAAGATTCAGGTTTGCCTTTTGCAAAGACTGAAGCTCTGATTCCAATTCCAGCTGCCTCTTCCTAATAGATATTGGAAAGAAAGAATTGGAAGCAATAAGTAACATCAAATATTTGTAAAATACTTAACAGGTGATGTGGTCACACAACTTACAGTTATCTTTTTAAATAAGAAATACTGCTTCTATCATTAACCTTTATTTTTTCCAGCTGGGCAAAATAGGGTTCAGGTATGTGCAAGGTATTCAAGAAATATATATGGTGGAACACAAATTCAAAAGCCCAAATAGCTCTCAATAATAGCATAGGCAACATGCTATTTTAAAAATAAACAGGGCACCAGTGGCTCACGCCTGTAATTCAGCCTACTCAGAAGACTAAAATCTGAGCATCTTGGTTAGAAGCCAGCCCAGTTAGGAAAAGTCTATGAGACTCAAATCTCCAATTAAACACCAAAAAGCCAGAAGTAGAGTTTGGGCTCAAGAGGTAGAGCACCATCTTTGAGTGAACAAACTAAACACATGTAAACACTGAGTCCAAGCCCCAATACTGGAACCAAAAACAAAAAGTAAAATTCCCAATTAAATTACCAAAATTATCATGAAAGCAAATACAATTTATAAGAGGTGTTAGTATGCATGTCAATTTCCATTTTACCGAGTTAGTTCTTTGAATTCTTCATATTCTTGCTTTGAAGTATTCAGCTCTGACTGAATTTGCAGGAGTTGTGCTTTTAACTTTTTCGTGTTTATGAACGAATTTGGTTGTTTTGAAATTTTGGGAGAAAATCCTTGTTGACCTGATAATAAAAGGACAAACAGACACTGAGAAAAACAACAAAACTCATGTTCTGAGTACTCTAACCAGCATCAAGTTTAAGCTACAGGGAACAGAAATGAGAAACGGAGTGCAGCCTAGTTGTGGTGGTGGAAGATAAAATCTAACCACTCATGAGGCTGAAACAAGAGGATCTTGAGTTTCAGAGGTCCTATCTCAAAAAAGAAACAAAAATAAGGGGTTTGAAGGTGGTGCCTATAATGTTAAGTACCTATCCCTCAACAGGAGACAGAGGATGACACAATGTGCCAAGGAAGGATTAGAAAAGGGCACAGGACCAGGCACGGGGGCTTATGCCTGTCATCCTAGCTACTCAGGAGGCTGAGATCTGAGGACTGTGGTTCAAAGCCAGCCTCAATAGTAAAGTCCATAAGATTCTTATTTCCAAGTTAAGGAACAGACCCTGATTTCAAGCTTTAGGACTATAATAACAACAAAGGCACAGACACCTCCTCTATCGGGAGAAAGCTAACCAAACTAACCACTATGGGACAAGACTCATCTTCCGCTGAACAGAAAAACTGAACAGTTGAACTTTAAGGAATTGGTCAATAAATTACTTAGGAAGCAAGTATTGTCTATTAGATAGAAAATGTTAGTGTTCTAGGATTGTTTAATAGACTGAATAGGTCAGTCTATTGGGTTCCAGCACAGGCAGATATCACATAAAAGTCACTTAGAGAATGCTAGATGTTTATATAAACTGTGCTCTAAGAAATTACCACCACTGTTTTGCAAAAGTAGTAAGATTTAGGGTTTTAGAGCAGTTTAGTGCCTTGCCAGACATGCAGAAGGCTCTGGGTTTGATCATCTTACATACACCAACACACACACACACACACACACACACACACACACTCAGAAACGAAATGATATTGAGAGTATAGTTCAAGTCAGGCCCTAAGTTTAGTCTCCACTACCACAATAAACAAACAAACAAACAAACAAACTGAAGCTCCTCAGGATAATCATCAGTTACCTTCTTCGATTTTCTCTGTGCCGGTCACTTCTGAAAAAGCTTTCTGTAGTCTCGCAACAGTGTGGGCATCTATTTCTTGGGCCCTTTTTACAGGCTCCAGTAATTTCAGTTTCCTGTTCTCCTCCCTGAGAGAATGATTCTCCATCGCATACTTTACAACTCTAGGGTGGTGATTTATCTGTATAGAAGGATTACACAAATTATTTCTTATGACCGCTCCTGTAATGAACTAGTCTCACTAAAAAGCCATTAGAAAATAGTAGAACACCCAGGCAGTACTGGTTGTATTCTGCTGCAACTACTGTGAAGAAAGACTTGACATCTGCACTCGGATTGAAATAGGAGATCCTACAACTCTTCTTTACCCTAAGATGCATGAAACATTCATTCTCTCAGGCTCTGGGAGAGAAAAAGAAACACAAGCATATGCAACCTGGCCCATTCTGCACACAAAAGAGTAGAGCTAAATCTATGTAAGAAAAAAAATTACTAAAATGAGTAAAGAAACTCTGTCTACTAAGATTCAACTGTTCAAGGAACATTAATTGAAAAAGACAATCGGGCGCCGGTGGCTCATGCTTGTAATCCTAGTTACTCAGGAGGCTGAGATCTGAGGATTGCAGTTCAAAGCCAGGTGGGACAAAAAAATACACGAGACTCAGCTTCAATTAACCACTCAAAAACCACAAGGGAAGCTGCCGTTCAAAGTAGTAGAGTACTAGCCTTAAGCAAAAAGGCTCAGGGACAGCACCTAGGCCCTGAGTTCAAGCCCTACAACCTACAAAAAAAAACCCAAAAAACAAAAAATTAATATCTTTTTTTTTTTTTGGTCGGCCGTGGGGCTTGAACTCTGGGCCTGGGCGCTGTCCCTCAGCTCTTCAGGTCAAGGCGAGCGCTCTACCACTTGAGCTACAGCGCCACTTCCGGTTTTCTGGTGGTTTATTGGAGATAGGAGTCTCGCGGTCTCTCCTGCCCTGGCTGGCTTTGAACCGCGATCCTCAGATCTCAGCCTCCTGAGTAGCTAGGATTACAGGCGTGAGCCACCAGCGCCCGGCAATATCTATTCTAATCAAACGTGCATTAACATCTGTGGAGAAATACACAAATGCTGGTAACATAACAGTTTTGAGACCTTACATATTCCATTAGGAAAGGAAAAGAGAAAAAACAAAAAAGCAAGACCCCCAAAGGCTCAATTTTAAAGATACTTTGGATTTGGATCATCCTAATTAACCAACATGGCAAATTCTGCCTGGCTGACCAAGAGCAAATGGTATGCATTCAAGCTTACACTCACGCTTTTTTTTCTCTGCAGACATAATCATTTTAGAACAGGTGGGAAACTGAGATACATTTAAAATGTATGACAATAAAAAGAAAGGAAGGATATGGTGACAAATTTCTGCTAGCCTCCTTTTTGGAGACAGAAATATTCCACTGCTACGCACTCACTTGTTCTCGCAGAGTTTGGATCTCAAGCCTTAATTCTGAGAGCAAACACTCCTGCTCCTTAGGCAGAAAACTGCCCCGGGATTCTTTCTGGAGCTTCTCCAGGCGCATGATTTGATCTTCCCGGAATTTCACAATCATTTTATTGGACTGAATAAACTGTTCCTTTTTGAGGTTGAGGTCTTCCAGTTGGGTGATTTTTTCTGCCAGAGACTTAGAAATTCATAGTTTGGTCAGACATGAAGAATCATGCAGCTACCTTAAAAGTTTGCATAAATTCAGAAACCAACACTACGTTCAGACTTAATTTTAAAATGTAAAGCTAGATTTTCACAGCGTCTTATTAATGTGATGCATTTATTTCACTCAGTAAGGAAATAAAAAAGCAACAATAAGAAATCTTAAAATTTTCCTCACTCGTCCTTATCCTAATGCAGATTCCTACCTTCTTTTCCTCTTCAGATTTCTTAAAGAACAACATTGCTTCCAGGAAATGCTCTAGGTAACTAGGCTTCTCTTGGTCTGTAATTGAACCAGTAAGAAAAAGAAGGAAAAGAGGGAAAAATGGCTTATTTTTCAAAACTTAAGAGATGAACGAAAAGGCAGTCTTTGATTAATGGCTCTCAATTACTGTTTTTTTGTTGTTGGTGTTTGTTGTTTTTTTTTTTTTTTGCCAGTCCTGGGGCTTGAACTCAGGGCCTAGGCACTGTCCCTGAGCTTCATTTGCTCAAGGCTAGCAATCTACCACTTGAGCCACAGTGCCACTTCCAGCTTTTTCTATTTGTGTGGTACTGAGGAATTGAACTCAGGGCTTCATGCATAGTAGGCAAGCATTCTATCAATGAGCCACATTTCCAGCCCCTGCTCTCAATGACTCTGAAAGAATTGGACTGTCAATGCTGGATCATGGTTTCAAATTAACCCATCAAACATATTAGTTATTCTTGGGGAAAAAAAAAACGCTATGTAGTTAACATACAGACTCCATATGGTAGACAGAATTAGGTCTTGGATCCTTTGAATAACATAAATCACTCCTATCCTATTTAGTGAATAAATGTAGATTGTAAACTGCAGTTGCTTAGAAGTAATATACATAAAATTCATTCATCTCTTAGTACTTCTTCCTGCTAAAAGGAGATAAAGTTGTTAGTCCTATCTCACAGGATGGAACACCTATGGCACCTGTATCTGAATATAACCACCATGTTCCTATACAAGTGAAATGAATGAAGAGAGTTGCGGAAAATTCTGGAAAGCCTTACTATATGCATTGTGTTCTATCTGTCATCAAGGGACTCTTATCAAGCAAGAAAGGAGACTGAGTTCATCCTACCTGTGGCAAGAAAGTTTTCTGGTTGGACCAGTCCAGAGGTAAACTGAGCCAAATGTTCTCTGAGCCTCTTCACCTCAGCTTGCAGCTGGCTCACGTTTCCTTGGGTGTCTTCATTCACCACTGCCTGTGTAAGAACCACAAAGCATTAAGACTACTTTTCCTCTCCACATGTTAACTAAATCTTTTGTCAATCACAGGGCTTAAACTCTGGGCCTGGGCGCTGTCCCTCAGCTTTTCAGCTCAAAGTGAGTACTCTACTACTTGAGCCACAGCACCATTTCCGGTTTTCTGGTGGTTAATTGGAGATGAGTCTCACAGACTTTCCTGCCAGGGCTGGCTTTGAACCATGATCCTCAGATCTCAGCCTCCAGAGTACCCAGGATTGCAGGCATGAGCCACGGTGCCCAGCTAAACTTTTTTTAAAATAGCACCCATTGTGAGGGATTGGATATGGCCTGGGCACCGTAGCTAAGCTCTTCAGCTCAAGGAGCATGTTTGAGCCACAGCGCAACTTCCAGTTTTCTGGTGGTTAACTGGAGATAAGAGTCACACAGACTTAGCCAGGAGTAGGTGGCTCATGTCTGTAATCTATTCAGGAGGCTGGGATCTGAGGATCGTGGTTCAAGGCCAGCCTGGGCAGGAACATCCATCCGGCCATGAAATTCTTATCTCCAATGAACCACCAGAAAACCAGAAGTGGCGCTGTGGCTCAAGTGGCAGAGCTCTCGCCTTGAACTGAAGACCTCAGGACCAGCAACTCAGGCCCAGAGTTCAAGACCCTCCATAGGGGAAAAAAAAAAAAAAGCTAATCATAAAACAAGTCCAAGATAGGTAGTATTTCCATGAGAGGACATATCAGGGGGACCTACCATGTATAGTGACAAGTGCAAAGCTCCCTGGGTCTGTTGTGTGTGTTAGAACACCTGTGACATCATTACACCTCAGTGATATCATAATTCATACTCTCAGTTGCAGTTCTATACTCTCTAAGCACTTGTTCTAAGTTCCAAGAGTCAGGGTCAGGAAGCTTTAGTGATATTTCCTTTTCATATAATTGCTAATAGCCACAAAGCTAGGGGGTCAAAATTCTGGAGGATACAGAGAGAGAGAGAGAGAGAGAGAGAGAGAGAGAGAGAAAGAGAGAGAGAATGTATGTGTGTGTGTATTGAGACTTGAACTTAGGGCCTAGGCACTGTCCCTTAGCTTTTTTGCTCAATGCTAAAGCTCAGCTTCCGGTTTTCAGGTGGTTCATTAGCGGTAAGAGTCTCATAGGTGATGGTGGCTCATGCCTGTAATTCTAGCTACTAAGGAACCTGAGATCTGATGATTGCTGTTCAAAGCCAGCCAGGGCAGGAGATCTATGAGACTTTTATCTCCAATTAACCACCAGAAGATCTGAAGTGACTCTGTGGCTCAAAGTGGTAGCGTGCTAGACTAGAGCAAAAAAAAGCACAGGTAGTAGACTGGGAAGTTGGCTCAATGGTAGAGTTCTTGCCTTGCATGCATGAGGCCCTGGGTTCGATTCCTCAGCACCACGTAAGCAGAAAAAGCTGGAAGTGGCACTGTGGCTCAAGTGGTTGAGCACTAGCTTTGAACTGAAGATAGCCCCCAGGTCCAGATTTCAGCCCCCACGAACGAACACACACACACACACACACACACACACACACACACACACACACACACACACACACTCTTTTTCTTTTTGGTCAGTCATGGGCTTGAGCTCAGGTGATGTTTGTCACTGTTATCAAATGACACTCACACCCCTACCATATACTTGCATATTGTTAAGATAAGCTTTTATAAAGAACATTATTACTGGGGGAATCACAAATATGAAATACTTAAAAGTTTAAGTATTTTTCTAACTTAGTAAAATATAGTCAGGTAATTACCTTGTTTTTAATCAGCTTGGCTCTTTGGGCAAAATTAAGTGTTGATAGTGTTTCTCCAAAGCACCTGGATCCAGGATGAACATTTGCAATTATGGCTGTTTTGGCATTACCACCTAGAGAATCCTGTTCGATAACATGAATGATACACATGTTAGGTGAGAAAGCACAGAACCTTTAAAGCAAACTAGTACAGCTCAAACTGTCCCACCATCGGTCTTAGCAATATTAAAGGAGACCCAACACCCAAGATGTCTGTTACCCGTAGTAAGAAGGTAAGTTTGGAGTCTCTGTAGCAAATGTGTCTCTGCTTTCCATTACCCACATCAACGAGAGCAGTGATCACTTGTCCCAGGCAACTCAGGGATCGGTTTATGTTACCTGCTTCCTAAAGCATCAGGGAAAAAAAAAGAGCAAAAACTCAGAGCAAGAAGTAGGGGTACACAGCTACAGTCTAAGCACTCAGGAGACGAAGGCATGAGGACTGAGAGTTTGAGGCTGGCTTGAGCTACACAGTAAGATCCAGGCCAGCCAAGGTCGCATACAAGACCCTGTCTCAAAAACAAAACAAAGGCACTGGTAGCTCATGCCTGTAATCCTAGCTCTACTCAGGATGCTAGGAGCTGATGATTGCAATTCAAAGCCAGACTGGACAGGAAAATCTATAAGACTCATTTCCAGTAAACTACTCAGAAAAAGCCAGAAGTGGTACTGTGTCTCAAGTGGTAGAACACTAGTCTGGAGCACAAAGCATCTCAAGGACAGCGCCAAGGCACAATGGTTACTATTTTGTGTTTTGGCCTAAAATAGTCTTAGTAAGTTGACCATTAGAGACAGAAAGTAACACATGGGCACTGTTAAAGACAAGTGAATTTCAGTTAAAAGAATGTTCAACTTTTCCTGTTTGATATACACAGTAACTTTAGAAAAGTACAAAAGCAATAAACTGCTATCTGTACTTCAAAAATGCTTTTTTTTGGCTTGCCAGTCCTGGGGCTTGAACTCAGGGCATGGGTGCTATCCCTGATCTTCTTTTTCTGCTCAAGGTTAACACTCTACCACTTGAGCCACAGCACCACTGTTAGCTTTTTCTATTTATGTGACACTGAGGAATGGAACCCAGGGCTTCACACATGCTAGGCAAGCAGTGTACCACTAAGCCACATTCCCAGCCCTGTACTTCAACTTATGAATTTTGATATTTTCCCAAGCTGCTGAAATCACTTACGATGATGGGCAGTCCTGAGAGCAAGAGGGAAACACTTATTCTATTATTACCTGCTAAGCAAGGACTAAATATGTAAAGTCATTTTTAAAATTTTTGAACCTGGGGCTTAAACTCTGGGACTGGGCACCTTCCTTGAGCTTTTATGTTCAAGGATAGGACTCTACCAGTTGAGCCATAGCTCCACTTCCAGCTTGTCATGGTTAACTGAAGCCAACCTGGGCTAGCTTCAAAACTGCAATTATCAGATCTCAGCCTCCTGAGTAGCTAAGATTACAGATGTGAGCCACCGGTACCTGGCTTGAAAGGTATTTTTGATTTAGGAGATTTTGAATCTACAATAGGTTTAGGAACATAACCATACTATGGATCCATGGAAAACTGTGTGAACAAGTTGTTAGGCTCCAAATATATAGATATGGATATATATCCATATCCATATATAAATATGGATATATATCTATAGCTACATATATACTCATATATTAACATATAGACATATATTGATATATATCTATATCAACATATAGATACATATATTGCTAATACCAATAGAAACAATGAATGTCAGGTTACCTGAGATTGCCTGAGAATCCATGAGACTCAAATCTCACTTTTTTTTTTGGCCAGTCTTGGAGCTTTTAGCTCAGGGTCTGGGCATTGTTCCTGAGCTTCTTTTGCTTGAGGCTACCATTCTACTACTTGAGCCACAGCACCACTTCCAGCTTTTTCAGCTTATGTGGTACTGAGGAATTGAATCCAGGGCTTCAGGCATGCTAGGCAATCACTTTACCACTAAGCCACATTCCCAGCCCCTCAAATCTCACTTTAAATAGAAAAGGTGTATCTGTAATTCTGACGTCTAATGATGTGTATCTTAAAATATAGAATTCCTATGTACTTTAATGACAATTCACATTCAATACCTGTATTCTTACTGGTAATACATATGACATAGAAGGTTAATAACTAAAACTGAAGATGAGATCTCAACAGCTTAATAACTTAAATGTGAGGTCTGAAACCATAAAATTCCTGTAGGGAATATGTCGGAAATGATCTGTACAACTTGGAGGGGGTTTGGAGGAGGAAAGTAGAAGAAAAATGAGGAAAGGGATAACAAGTTTGACAAGAAATGTTCTTATTACCTTACTTATGTAACCTTGACAATAAAAAAATAAATAAAAAATTCCTATAGGGAAACAGATAAATACTCCTTAACACTGACATGAGTGATCTTTTGTAAACAAAGGCAATAATGACTCAAAACACAGGTAACCTTAACAACAAATGGAAATACTTTCTGTACAGCAAAGGAAACAAAGGGAAAGGCCACCTATCAGAGAGAAAGTATTTACAAAACATTTATCTAGGGGCTGAGAATGTAGCTTAGTGGTAGAGTGCTTGCCTAGCATTCATGAAGCCTTGGGTTCGATTCCTCAGTACCACATAAACACAAAAAGCTGGAAGTGGCGCTGTGCCTCAAGTGATAGAGTGCTACCCTTGAGCAAAAAACAACAACAACAAAAAAAAACAGCCCAGGGACAGTTCGTAGGTCGATTTCAAGCCTCAGGACTAGCAAAAAAACAAAGAAAACATTTATCTAGTAAACTTTTGTGTGTGTGTGCTGGTCCCTGGTGTTTGAACTCAGGGCCTGAACACATTCCCTTAGCTTTTTCACTCAAGACTGGCGCTCTACCACTTGAGCCACAGCTTCACTTTTGGCTTTTTGGTGATTAATCTGTGATAAGTGTCTCATAGACTTTCCTGCCTGGGCTGATTTCAAACTGCAATGCTCAGTCTCTTGAGTAGCCACAGGCACCTGACTCATAATTTCATCCTTACCTTTAACCTCATCCCTTCTGCATGAGTATCTTTTTGCCTTTCAGATCCTGCTAAATCCACCAGATTTAGTAAGGAGGTCCGTATGTTCACGGTCTCATTACTCTTCTCCATTGACTCTATGGTGATGGTAAAGACTGCATGAGACCTAGAGGACTCTCTGTTCATTGATGTAGATGCAACACGTCTGTTCCTCCATCCTCCAGACAATACCTGGGTCAAAGGAGCCACACAGGTACACTTAAGACAACTGAATCACAAAGTAAGCACCTTACAAGTGCTCGTTCTAACAAGAATAGTCTAACAGTTAATGTTCTACTTTTGTGTGTATGTAGGTCATAAAACTTGAACTTCAAACTTCATAATCTCACTTAGTCTGTTGTGCTCAAGGCTGTCACTTGAGCCACAGAGTCACTCTGGCTTTGTGCTAGTTAACTGAAGATAAAGGTCCCACAGACTTTCCTACCCCGGCTGGCTTCAAGCCACGATCCTCAGATCTTAGCCTCCTGAGCAGCTAGGACAGTAGGTATGACCTATCAAGAGCTCTGTCAGTGGGTTTGTCTACCCTGAGCTGAAAATTCAGAAGCTGGCTTTTAGTGCCACCACAAGCAAGCAGAGGTAGAAAAAGAACAGCCACCTGGTAAAAGGTTACCATACCCAGGATCTCCTAAAATAAGGAGCTCCATGGGGAAAATCAACAGAAACATGCATGCTAATTCAATCATGAATAGTCAAACACATTTTATTTAGTTTTTATTTTCGTTTTTTTGCTCAAGGCTAGTATCTTACCACTTGAGCCACAGCGCCACTTCTAGCTTCTTCTGCTTAGGTGGTACTGCGGACTGGAACCCATAGCTTCATGCGTGCTAGGCAAGCACTCTACCTCTAAACCACATTCCAGCCCATAATTTTTTTTTTTTAATTTAACAACGGAACAGTGGAGGGCTGGGAATATGATTTAGTGGTAGAGTGTTTGCCTAGCATGCATGAAGCCCTAGGTTCAATTCCTCAGTACCACCTAAACAGAAGCTGGAGGTGGCACTAGACAGCACCCAGGCCCAGAGATCAAGCTCCACGACCGACAGACAGACAGACAGACAGACAGACACACACACACACACACACACACACTCTCTCTCTCTCACATGCACACACACACACATACACACACATACATACTCTCTCTCTCTTTCTCTCTCTCACACAAAGGAACAATGGACTAGGAGGAAAGAGAAGACAAGGGTGGTTCACAAACCCAGAAGCACTCCACATTGCAGGGTAATTTATTTTAGGAGTATCTGATAAGAGGGAATAATAAGCCAGGCGCTGGTGGCTCACACCTGTCATCCTAGCTACTCAGGAGGCTGAGATCTGAGTATCACGGTTCGAAGGCAGCCCAGGAAGGAAAGCCTGTGAAACTCTTACCTCCAATAAACTACTTAGAAAAAGCCAGAAGTGGTGCTTTAGCTCAAGTGGTAGAGTGCTGGCCTTGAGCAAAAGGAGCTTAGGGACAGTACCCAGCCCCAGAGTTCAAGCCCCAGGCCTGGGGGATAATAACACCCAAACACTACAGTATCAAATAACCCTAAGTTCCTTTTTTGGTGGGAGAGAAGTCAGAGAGAGTATCTTACTATATAGCCAAGAAGAGTACCCTTGAACTCACAATCCTTTTACTTCATTCTCTTGAAAGCTGAGATTACAGGCAAGCACTACCATGCCTGGCCAAAGTTTTTTTGTTTTTTGTTTTGTCGATCATGGGGCTTGAACTCTGGGCCTGAGCACTGTCCCTCAGCTCTTCAGCTCAAGGCGAGTGCTCTACTGAGCTACAGTGGTTTATTTATACATCTGGTGGTTTATTGGAGATAAGAGTCTCATGGACTTTCCTGCCCAGGCTGGCTTTGAACTGCGATCCTCAGATCTCCGCCTCCTGAGTAGAATAGGATTACAGGCGTGAGCCACCAGCACCCAGCATGGCCAAAGTTTTATATTAACTAAGTTACTGACCATGAACATTTTGTGATATGACTTTATTAGTCCTGAGACTGAGATGCAATCACACGCTTGTTTATTGCCTATGTATCAAACCAACAGTGCGCGATACCTGATAGGCTTCGGCAGCTGAGGTCACCACCTGCTCAGATGCACCCACAACAAAGACACCTTTCTTGATGTGCTCCCTCAAGTACAGGCCAGCTGCAGCAGAGTCCAGCAGGTCGTAGATCTGTTCATTGTAGACTTCGATGAAGGAACACTTACAAAGGAAACTCTTCCCATCTCCAGCCTGTGGAGGACAAGCCTTACTTAGATGCATTATGTTTACATGTTCACCCCCAGCTTTCACCAGCACTCATTTTCACAAGTTGTTAATTCCCCATAATAGGTTCCTTAAATACAAAATAAAGTGCCTAAAAAAATCCACATCACTAGTCTCACCTTTCAGAACACCGAACTGTGCTCCTTTGATTTCTAGATGTTTCCAGAGGTGCCAAAGACCACCATAATTTGATGACTGTAACTGCATTCTTTTTGTTTGGTTTGGGGCGGCTCCTGGGGCTTGAACTCAGGGCCTCGGTGCTGTCCTTTAGCCTTTTTGCTCAAGGCTTCGCACTCTTACCACTTGAGTTACATCTCTAATTCTAGTTTTTTGGTAGGTAATTGAAGGCATGCATTTTCCTGCCCAGGTTAGTTCTGACAGTGATCCACAGAACTCAGTCTCTTCACTAGCTAGGATTATAGGTGTGAACCCCTGGAACCAGGCAGACACTGGGCTTTTAAATGCATGGTGCTGAACTTAATCATTTCACTTACAAGTAATTTGTACGTCTTAACTGCAATGTTAGAAACAATATTATATATCAGTTGCCCTGATATATAAGGAATAAAACATAAACACTAAGGGTTAGTAAGCCTGGAATTCTCAAAGCTAACAAGAAAATACAATCACTAGAACACCTCAAGCTGTGAACCAGAGAGAAAGGGAAGAGCACATTGCAGGTTTTAGGGCCATAGCACACACACAGCCTGATCATGGTGAGTGGAAGGAAGCAAGGATGGAGTCCATCACTACAGGACATCAGGTGACACCCATGATCACCTGTGAGCTGAGATACTGGTAGATGATGGGTACTGGTAGATGGGATGTGGCATATTAGAGTTTCTCTTTTTTTGGGTTGAGATTTTCTTTACACTTTGTATCTTGTAAAATCTTTTGAGAAGCAGTACTGTTCTTTTTTGTAAGCAAGCACACCAGTTAAAGGGTGATGCATGCTTTATAACCTAAAACCTCAAATTGAAAACTCTCAACGTTTTTATTTTTTTGTCGGTTGTGGGACCTGAACTCTGGGCCTGGATGCTGTCCCTCAGCTCTTCAGCTGTAGACTAGCGCTCTATCACTTGAGCCTCAGACCCACTTCCGGCTTTTTCTGCTTATTTGGTGCTGAGGAATCGAACTGAGGGCCTCATGCATGCAAGGCAAGCACTCTACCACTGAGCCACCTGCCCAGTCCCTAGAGTTTTAACTTTATCTTGGGAACTGACAGGACATTTATACCACACTAGCCTATCTATCTACTTTTCAGATTCATGAAAGATCATGCTCATGAGATAACTTTATTACTAGCTAATGAACTCAAAACGACATTTCACGGAACAATTTTGTTTGTACATTCTTACCTTCTCTTTCTCACGATCAATTAAGGAAAACAAATATTCAAAACTTCGGGGGATTAGTCCTCTCAAGTTATGAGAAAAATTATCAGATTCAGATGGTCCTAAAAAGAAAAAAAGAAGGTAAAGATAATAAGAAGCCTTTTGATTTTTATTCTAACCCAATGGCAACACTGAAAGCCAATTTGTAAATAAGATAACATATTGTACTATGTTCTACTTGTTCTTCAAACAAGTTGTATTTAAGCTTGTGAAGATAGAGTAAGAAAACCTGCCTGTCATGGGTCTGCGTCAATGGCCCACAGAAGCCATCAAGCAGTATTTTAAAATAGCTATTGTTGGATGAGAAAACAACAACTTCAACAACAACAAAAAACCCATAGGTACTAGGTTAAGTTTTACAGGAAGGCATAGTAAAGGAAATAAACTAGTACAAACAGCAATAGGAGCTTAATGCAGAGAAGCCAGAAACAGAAGAATGGCTATAGTACAATTTCATATGTGGAAGTACAAAGCCAAACCAACCTAATTAATGACAATAGGGGATGAAGCAGTAGTAGGAGTTATTACCAAGAATCTTGATCTTGACAGAGAGTTTACAGAGATATACTCATATATGAAAATCTACTAAACCCCACTAAAAAAAAAACTGGTCTGTGCTAAGGACTGAGTAGGAGCCACTGCTACAAGCATGATTAACCAATGGATTTGCTATCCAGAATCTCAATATATGGCAGAAGCCTGGGGAGCACTGTTACTTAAATTTAGTCAACATCACATTTAAAATGTCTTCCACAAAATGTTCCCCTGCTGTCATCACAGAAAAAAATACAATAAGCCACAAACATTCACCTTTACTTACCCATCATAGTAAAAGTCTTCCCTGAGCCAGTCTGCCCACTGTAAAAAACAATGTGCTATTTAGTATTTTGACACACAAAAAAGAAAAATTGGAAAAAAAAAAAAAACCCTCCTACCTTCTCTAGTTCAATATGGGCTACAAGTGCATAAAATGTCTCCGCAAAAACTTATTTTCTCTTTTATAATTTTTTTTTTTTTGTCAGTTGTGGGGCTTGAACTCAGAGCTTGGGTCCTGTCCCTGAGCCTCTTTGTGCTCAAGGCTAGCATTCTAACACTTGAGCCACAGTGCCACTTACAGTTATTGAGTGGTTACACTGGAGATAAGTCTCATGGGAACTTTTCTGCCTGGGCTGGCTTCAAACCACAATCCTCAAATCTCAGCTTCCTGAGTAGCTAGGATTACAGGTGTGAGCCACTGGTACCTGGCTCTCTTTTAGAATTCTATGAGGTGAAAAAGGAATGATCTATTTTTTTTTCTTCCAGTACCATAACCAAGAGTTAAGTACAGACAAGTGCTTCAATATAATAAAAACATGGCCATCAGAATTTTCTTTTGCAAAAAGTGGACAGTATCTTTATACTGGTCTGTACTAGGCCTATACCTTAATTTTATATCAGACAATAAATACAAGCTTTCCTTCAGTTCTCAGCTCAGGGAGGCTAGGTGCTGGTGGCTCTGTGCCTATAACTTGAGCTAATAAGGAGGCTGAAATCTGAGGATTGCAACTCAAAGCCTGCATGGCAAGAAAGGCTGTGAGACTCTTTGTCGGTTGTGGAACTTGAACTCAGGGCCTAGGCGCTGTCCCTGAGCTCTTTTGCTCAAAGCTTGTGTTCTACCACTTGAGCTAAAGTGCCACTTCCCGTTTTATAGTGGCTAATTGAAGATAAGGAAAGTCCGTGAACCACTAGAAAACCAGAAGTGGTGCTGTAGCTCACAGTGATAGAGCACTGACTTTGAGCAAAAGAGCTCAGGGGACAGTGTCCAGACCCTGAGTTCAATACCCATGACTGACAAAAAAAAGAAAAAAGAAAAAAAAAAAAGAGCTGGGGAGAGTGTCTCACATGTTGGTGCTCACTCCTCTCGCACATGGTACAGTGCTTCCTTAGCAAGGCCAGAGCTGAGTTCAAACCCCAGAATTATTTTAAAAAAAAAAAAGAAGAAATTCTTACAGATTTAAATTTTTTTAAAATAAGATCTTATCTCCTTACATTATTCCACTTAAAAAGAAATCAGAGTAACAAAAACAAACAACAAAAGTTATATGTCACAGTAGATAGCAACTGAGTTTTCAAATGACTCAGATGCATAGCAAAAATATCAAATTCTAAATTTACTTTTTGAAAAATCTGGGGAAAAAAATAGTCTACTTGCTTATGTCCTAGTAACACAGAGTAACAGATTTTCCTGTTCAGGTTCCAGGGAGGAAAACAGCCCTGATTTTAGCTTAGAAAGACCCATATGTTGACTTTCTACCTTACAGAATTGTAGGATTATGTGTCTATATTGCTTTAAGCCACTACATTTGGTATAATTCATTAAAAACACAATAGGAAATTAATACAAGTGCTCACTCCTATACCATGAACACAGTGGACACTTACTATGCAAAAATGGTGCCGTTATAACCACACATGCACGACTCCACAATGCTTTTAGCCACAGTTGAGAACACCGACTCCTACAAATGTAAGCACCCAACATGTTCACATTTCAGAAAAAAGAAATACAATTTTTTAAAAAATGAGAGTGCTTAGACCTACTTGACAACATAAAGATTACATTGACTATAGAATAATGGCTAAAATATCTAAGATGCTAGAACTTCAACTAATGATAGGTGAGTTGTTACTCCTGTAGTTCTAGCTACTCAAGAAGTTGAGATCTGAGGATCCTGGGTTGAAGACAGCAGAGGCAGCAAAGTCCATGAGACCCTTATCTCCACTTAACCATCAAAAGGGAAGTAGAGTTGTGGTTTAAATGTAGAGTGGCAGCCTTGAGTGAAATAGCTAAGGGACAGCATTCAGGCTGTTCAAGTCCCAAGAGCAGCACTCTCGCATTGCATGCATGCACGCAAGCATGCGCACACACGCACGCACACGCGCGCACGTACACATGCACACGCACACACGCACACGTAGCTCCATTTATCTTCTGTAGATTTATATGGCCATTTATTGTTTTGGACCATCAAGATGAGGTGCAGGTTAGGAACCAGACCATATGTAACATCTAATCAAGCTAACTTAGTAACATTGTTTAAATGTTTTATTTCTACTTGCCAGTAGTGAACTAGACACTTTTTTTTTTTTTTTTTTTAAAAGAGGTTTGGGAATGTGGTTAGTGGTAGAGTGCTTGTTTAACATGCATGAAGCTGTGGGTTCGATTCCTCAGTACCACATAAACAGAAAAAGCTGGAAGTTGCACTGTGCTTCTTCAGGTGGTATAATGCTACCCTTGAGAAAAAGAAGCTCAGGCCCAGGCCCTGAGTTCAAGCCTCAGGACTGGCAGAGAGAGAGAGAGAGAGAGAGAGAGAGAGAGAGAGAGAGAGTGGGGGGGAGGAGGTAAAGAGAAAGAAGGAGGGAGGGAGGGAGGGAGGGAGGGAGGGAGGGAGGGAGGGAGGGAGATCTTGCCAAAAAGGTTCATGTGCATGAACAAGAGAATATTCCAGCTGGGCATCAGTGGCTCATGCCTGTAAACCTAGCTACTAAGGCAGCTGGGATCTGAAGATAATGGTTCAAAGCCAATGTGGGTAGAAAAGTCCCAATTAACTTATTGTCTTATTGTTTAACATATATATAATATATATTTAACTTATTGTTAACTTAGTATCTCCAATTAACCACTAAAAAACTGGGAGTGGAGGTGTGGCTCAAAGTAGTAGAGCCTTGAACAAAAGACTCAGGGACAGTGCCCAGGCCGAGTTCAAGCTCCACAATCAACAAAAAATAAAAGAGAATATTCCAGACCAATGATGTCCAGTACAGTGGTCATTAGCTACTATGCAGCTATTTAAATTTAAATTAAACTTAGTTCAGACATACTACCCACAATAGAGGGAGACATACCCATTTGTACAGACTTTAAATTTTATATAATATTAACTTAAAATTAAGTAGCAAAAGGTTAATGTAACAGACAGCTCAGACATAAAACACATCCAAATTACCAAAAGTTGTATGAGATAGCACTAAGTTTCAATTATATTGACCTCAATTAGAAGAGTAGTTATTGGCAATAATACTAAATCCATTAACTAGGCCATGAACTGTACTTATCACTTATCAAGTGTCTCTAAAGAGTATATATCCAGCCAAGTGCCAGTGGCTCATGCCTCCAAACTATGGTTGGCAATTCAAAGCCAACCCAGGCAGCAAAGTCCATGAGACACTTATCTCCAATTAATCTGCAAAAAGCCAGAAGTAGAGCTGTGGCTCAAGTAGTAGAGTATTAGCAGAAAAACCTCACCACAGTGCTCAGGCCCTGAGTTCAAGCCCCAGACTGCCACCATTCACCTCCATCTCTGAGGTGAGGAGGAATAAAATGGGCAAGGGTCATTCTGGTATAGTTCGATGATTTAAAGAACAAAATTAACAAAATTAGATTTGAAATATTCATGGAATGTTTGTGATTGAGATCTCCCAAACTAAACCAGCCAGAAATGAAATCCTTACAAATCACCATGCCTTCCACTCTCCAAGAAGAAAATGTCAAGTTTCTAGTCATCATTACCTGAGTGGTGTTCATGTCCGCAACATAATCGAACATAAAGGTCTTGGGCTCTGGGTTAGAATGTAGCCGCAGAGTAGTGGACGAGAGCACAGACAAGCACAAGTTCTGTTCTCCATCAGCAAATCTCCCGCCTTCTGCCGGTGGACGAATCCGCACAAAAACTTTGATGGCATCACCTTCATGACTAAAGACAACAAGTAAAAGTAACAGCAGAAAGTGGGGGTGTGGCTCAAGTGGCAGACCTTCACTGAAAAACCAAGTGGGAGCACAAGGCCCAGTACTATCACCAACACAAACCAACAACAAATGACAACTGAAAAACACAAACAAGCAGGCCAATCCAAAGGAAAAAAATAACAAAGCTAATTGTACAAAGGAAAACTAAGCTGGGTACTTGTGGCTCACATCTGTTATCCTAGCTACTTAGGAGGCTGAGATTTCAGAAGCACAGTTCCAAGCCAGCCCAGGCAGGAAAGTCTATGAGACACTTTATCTCCAATTAATCACAGAAAAAGCCCGAAGTGATACCATGGCTCAAGTGGTAGAATGCTGCTGGCCTTGAGCAAAAGCTGAGGCAAAGTGCCCAAGCCCCGAGTTCAAAGCCCAGGACCAGAAAAAAACAACAACTAACTAAATGGGTCTGAGTCTTGTGTTGTCTATAATGTTTTATAATGTTTCTGCCAATAAGCATGAGATCTATCCCAACTTAACTTTTTTGCTTCAAATCACCCCAACCTTTTCTTGATGTTGATTTACTGCCTGATAGGTACATTCATGTGCTTTTCCAAAAATAAATTCAAAGACAGTTCATTTCAAAGAACTCCAAAAGCTATTTGTCCCTTATTTCCTTCTAATAATAATAAAGTAAGTACCTCAACAGGATAATTATACAATTTATAGGAGGGAGGAAAGGTAACTCATTTTCCCCATACATCTCCACTAGTTAAGGACAAGCTAAATTTTGAAGCAGGTGTCCCATTATGTTAAACAGTTCTTTTAGAAATACCACATCACCAATTCTTTGGGGCTGGACAAGATTTTTTTTCTTATTTTCTTACCTTGGCTGGTCAGACTGAGTTGTCAAATTTCGAAAATTAGCTAAAAGGAAAAAAAGATAAAAAGTCAGAAAAGGGGATTAGTATTGCATAAATCTCCTTGACCTATAACACGTTGCTCAGGTGCTGCTTGGGCCGATTCTATTGCCCAGACTCCTCAATCCACAGTGTTATGCCCAGCCCAGCACCATCTTGTCCATTTTATCCCTGTGTACTTTCTTGGTACTGATGATATTTGGTTTCATGACTATATATTTTACACACACACACACAGAAATGATCCCCAAATTTAACATTCCCACTAGTCTATCCTCCTCAAACTCAGACTCTTACACACTTGACCATTATAATACTGCCAATGGATAATATCAAACCTGATTCCCAGACCAAATTCCTGATCCTCTCTGCCTACCCAAAAGTGTTACTTCAAGTCAGTAAATGACAACTCATCTTTCCATTGGCACAGGCCAAAAACCACAGTCATCACTAACCCCGTTTTGTTTTGTTTTGTTGGTCAGATGTGGGACCTGGGTGCTGTCCCTCAGCTCTTCAGCTCAAGGACACTTTAGTACTTGAGTCACAGCACCATTTCCAGTTTTCTGGTGGTTAATTGGAGATAAGAGCCTCACGGACTTTCCTGCCTGGGCTGCCTTTAAACTTGATCCTCTGATCTCAGCCTCCTGAATAGCTAGGATTACAGGTGTGAACCATTAGCACACGACACCCAACCCCATGCTTGCTCACACTTCATTCCAATTTATGTTGGTAAGAATAAGGTAAAAAAATTATGAGCTGGGTGCCGGTGGCTCATGCCTGTAATCCTAGCTACTCAGGAAGTTGAGATCTGAGGATCATGGTTCCAAGCCAGGCAGAGCAGAAAAGTCCCTGTGAGACTCTGATCTCCAATTAGCCACTCAAAAACCAGAAGTGGTACTGTGGCTCAAGTGGTAGAACACTAGCACAAAGAGGCTCCAGGACAGCACCCAGGCCCTGAGTTCAAGCCCCACAACTGACAACAACAATAATAATAAGGTAAAATTTTGAAAGCTTGCCTGGCGCCTGTAATCCTACTCAGGAGGCTAAGATGTGAGGATTTGAAGCTCAAGAACTGGCAAGCACAGGCATACACACAGAGTTCAGTTTCTTCAACCACAGGCCTGCCCTCATTCCATTAACAGACATCCCATCCAATAAGTTCATAAAATAGATGCAATGTAAGAGGTGCTAGATATACACAAAAGCAGCAAATGACTAAGAATCTAGTGAAAATGGAGAGGCTTAGAACAAGCACAAATGGAGGAAAGAAAAAAAGGGGGGGGGGGGCGGAGATTTCAGGACAGATGTCCTTGAGTTTAGAACCTATTGTGAAAATACTGTAGTCCTCTCCCTTGTCTGCCACCTCTCTTTCCATGTTATCACCTATCAGCAGGAATCCAAAAGTACTAAACTTTTAAATGGAAAAATGGTTTAACAACTTATTCAGTTTTAAATGCTGAGTAGCAAGATGCCATTGTGCTCCCCAAAACCTGGGGACAAATTCGTGTGGTACACACAACCTTTCCAATAGTCACTAAATAGCCAGCCTTGTCAATTGTCAAATCAACTAACAGTAGGACAACTAACAGATTGTCACAAGCAAGCAGAATCAAGTATCCTTCTGTTCAGATAACCTTGTTGGCACTGATTGCCTGTATCATTCATCTCATCTGGGACAACCATAAAAGGATAAGTACAACACAGTATAATAGTGTGACAAATATACATCGACAAAATGATGATTACAAAACATCTCAACCTCAGAAGCAAAGTCCTTGAGACTCTGATCTAGAATTAAGCACAAAAAAAGGGAAGGAAGGAAGGAGGGAAGGAAGGAAGGAGGGAAGGAAGGAAGGGAAGAAGGGAGGGAGGGAGGGGAGAAGGGAAGGAAGGGAAAGAAGGAAGGGAAGGAAGGAAGGGAAGGAAGGAAGGAAAAAAGGCCAAAAGTGGTGCTGTGGCTCAAGTGGTAGAGCACCAGTGTGAGTGGAAAAAACGAAGGGACAGATCCCTGAGTTCAAACCCAGGAACTGCACACCACACACACACACACACACACACACACACACACACCATTTTCTTTTGACATTATTGTGCATCTCTAGCATAAACTTAATCATAGATTTAAAAAAAAATTAAAACAGTATCTATAGATTGTGTACTAAGGTATATTCAAGTAAGGGTTTGGATAAGGGGGAGGGTTGTGACTGGAGGGGCAAGTGTGTATGTGTTTATGGGGGGAGGGAGGGGGAAAGAGAGAGAGAAATCTGTAAATTCACCATCTGAGAAAGAGGAATCTTCCTTTTAAGAACATCACTCGTCGTAAAAAAAAAAAAAAAAAAAAAAGGTAAGAAATGTGGAAACACATATTAGGTGGCGGTGACACGGGCCGATAGGAAGGCAATAACGGTAAAAAGAAGGCTAAGTAAGAGCTCAGGGGCTGGTGGCTCAACACCTGTCATTACACTGCTCAGAAAACAGATCCGGGGATCGCGATCCGCAGCCCGCCAGCCAGCCAGCCCTGGGGCAGGAACAGGAGTTCGTTGACACTCTTCTCTCTCATAAACATCTCAGGAAAAGGAAGAGGGAATTGAAGCTGGGTTCAAGGAGTAGAACGCCAAGTAAAGCTTTCGGGGACAGTTTGCCCACAGGCCCGGAGGGGTTCAAACCCCAGGATCGGCACCGTCAACACACAATCGAATGAACGCAGCAGAGATGCAACCCTCCTGGGGTGAGACCCGGATAGAGAAAACACCTCAAGACTAAGAGTTGGGAAGGGGGGGGGGTTCCCTCGGGATTGCGGTGGGGTGCTCGGGGGGAAGACACGCGAGGCTCGGGGTCTCCGGCCCTACCGCTCCCCGGACCGGGTTTGAGACACCCCCGCGAAGGACAAGGGATCGAACGAGCTGCCTCCTTCCCTCAGCGTCGCTGTCAGGGGAAGAGGCCGGGGCGGACGCCGGGCCCGGGCCGGCGGCGTCGGTCACCTCAGGGTGGGATGAACGCCGCGGGCCTCCGTCCTCCCAAGGCCTCCGCTCCCCACCCCGCATCGCCACTCCCACCGCCACCCCACATGCGGGGACCGGGGCCCGCCAACCCGCGGCTCGTGACTTACTTCTGCAGACCGACGCCATAGCAACCCACGGGGGTCCCGGAGTGGAGACGAAAATGAGGACACACACACACCCGCCTGAGAGGAAGCGCCCGGCCGCCACGCGCGACGCGGGCCAAGGGGGAGGGCGGGCGGGCGGGGCGGGCGGGGGCAGGCGGGCGAGGAGAGAGAGGTTCGACGCTCTCCGTTCGCGCTCGCAAGATGGCCGTCGATTTGAATCTGGCGCGCTGGGCGGGCGTGTGACGTCACCGCAGGCCCCGCCCATCCCGCCCGCCCGCCTGCCTCCGGGGGGGCGTGGTGGGAACGGGGGCGTGGTCGTGCGTGACGTCATGAGAGCGCGCCGGCGACGCGGGAGCGGGCGTTTACGCTCCAGTCGCCGCCGAGGCCATGAGCAAGCGGAATCGAGTGTCTTACGTGCGGCCGGCGGAGCCCGCGTTCCTGTCCCGCTTCAAGGAGCGGGTGGGCTACAAGGAAGGGCCCACCGTGGAGACCAAGGTGAGCCCGAGAGAGCGAGGCGCTTCGGCCGGGTGCTGACAGCTTCCTCTTCCCGCTGGAGTCTCATCTTCCCCATCGTCCATTACCCACCCCCCCCCCCACACACACCCCGCTTCCGATCGGCCTCGGATCCCAGGCGGATCCTCCAGCCAGCCTCTGAACGGCTAGGGGACGCGTCACTTTGCTTCATTCAACCCGGTCCTCGGGAAAGGAAGAAGGCTGTAGACCCAGCCCGCTCCTGTCCCCCCTTCTCTCGTAACCCACTCGCAGAGCGGGTGAGCGGGACTGAGGGGCGCGGCGGGTGCCGTCCCCGTTTTTCCAGGAACTTTTGAGGCGACGCGATCCTCCAGACAGGTTCCAGACTCGCGTCTGCGGGATTACCTGCTGCAGAAAGGGTCCCTTGCTGTTTCCCAGGTTAGGTGCTAGAATGGCAAGGTGGAACACCGGTATCACCCCCATAAAGGCCCGTGTCGAATGGAGACAAAATAATGTATTTATTTGCTATCTATGAGTCGGGCACAGTGTCCAGCAGAGAAGGTGAGGTGAGGTTAGGCCGGCTAGAGGCTCCAAACCTTCGGAGGTTTACCTGAGTTGTAGTTGCCCAGTGAAGCTTGCTCAGAGAACAGAAGGCTCCAAGGAATGGTTGTGTTTGTTTTTATTAGTGTGTGTCGGTACTGGGGCTCGAACTCAGGGTCTAACCCATTCCTGAGTTTTTTCCGCTGCAGAATGGCATTCGACTACTTACTTGAACCATAGCTCCACTTCTGGCGTTTTGCTGGTTAACGTGTCGCAGCTTTTCTTGACTCAGCTACTTTGGAAGCTCAGGCAATAAATGAATATGAATGCTTGATACTGGTTTGGAAAAAATAAGATATGCATTATCTCAAAGCATTGTGAGAAGACTTTTTATGTCAATGAAGAGGTTAGGCAAGATGGTACCAGCCTGTAGTACCAGGTCTTCAGGAGAAAGAAACAAAGATTGGGAAGTGAAAGCCAACCTGAACAAATTTAGAGACTCATTATTTTAGCCAGTCCTAGGGCACGGTCCCTGTGCTGCTTCTTATTCAGGGCTAGCATGCTACCACTTAAGCCATAGTGCCACTTCTGGCCTTTTCTGTTTATATGGTGCTGAGGAATTGAACCCTGGGCTTCATGCATGCTAGACAAGCACTCTACCACTAAGCCACATTCCCAACGGAGACTCAATCTTAAAATCAAAATAAAAGGGCTAGGTTTAGTCTCCAGTACTGAATTAAATGTTTTAAACACTTAAAAATTATAGCTTTTGGGCTGGGGATGTGACTTAGTTGTAGAGTGCTTGTCTAGCATGCATGAGGCTCTGAGTTCTACTCCTCAGTACTACATTAAAAAATAAATTTAAAAAATAGTCATGTGCACAGCTTAGCTTTTTATTTACTTTTTTTGTGGGTGATGGGGCTTGAACTCTGGGCTTCAGCGCTATCTCTGAGCTCTTCAGCTCAAAGCGAGCACTCTACCACTTTGAGCCACAGTGCCACTTCCGGTTTCCTGGTGGTTAATTGGAGATAAGAGTCTCACTCTTTTCCTGCCCGGGCTGGCTTTGAACCGAGATCCTCAGATCTCAGCCTGCTGAATAGCTATGAATATAGGCGTGAGCTACTGGCTTACTACCTGTCCAGGCCAAGTCATCAGGCAAAATGCTGTATTTATAGGTGTACAGTGAGTACACAGTTTGAGGTTTGAGAAATTTTTCTAATTAAAACCAAGAAGTCACAGAAAAAAATACGTATTATATACAAAATGTTTTATGTAACTATATATCTCTCTACCCATCAAACAAGAAAGGCACAATAAGGGATGAACAAAGGTAGTACAATGACCTGAGAGCAGGAACATCCACAGAGGCACAGTTAAAGGTGACAAGGGAGTTTTCTTTTTCTTTTTTTTTGTCAGTCTTAGGCCTTGAACTCTGGGCCTGGGCACTGACCCTGAGCTCTTCAGCTCAAGGCGAGCACTCTACCACTTGAGCCACCGAGCCACTTCCGATTTTCTAGTGGTTTATTGGGGATAAGTGTCTCACGGACTTTCCTGCCCGGGCTGACTTCGAACCGTGATCCTCTGATCTCAGCCTCCTGAGTAGCTAGGATTACAGGCGTGAGCCACTGGCGCCTGACTAAGGGAGTTTTATTTACACCAAAATGTAGAGATGTTTTCACAATAACTGACTCTAAATGAATGTTCTGATGTGTCAATGTCACCAAGGTCCACCCCAGAGCCCAAGGGATGAATATCCATCCATCCTGCAGCTTTCTCCATCCAGAGGGGAGTGTCTCTAACTCTAAATCTTCTTTTGAATAGCAAGGCATTTCTGGCAGCTCTGGTAGGGCTGTAATAACTAGTAGCTCTAGAGGCACCCCTAATTTCAGAATAGCCTCCTGAGCTGCCTGGTCAGCTCGGTTGTTTCCCTGAACCTCAGGGGTCTCTTCTTTTTAATGACTCTTACAATGAAAAACAGTCACTTTTTGGGGAAGCCAAATGGCGTCCAGGAGGGCCAATAGCTCAACGTTTTTTAATTTTCCTCCAGAATTTGAATCCTCTCTCCTTGTATAGGGCCCCATGAACATCAGCTGTAGCAAAAGCATACCAGCTGTCTGTGTAACTATTAACTGTTTTCCTTTTGCCCACCTCAAGGCTTGAGTGAGAATGATTAGCTCAGCCCTCTGAGCTGAGGTCCCGTGATTTAGGACGTGTGCCCAGATTACATTATCTGCTGACACCCCGGCTGCCCCTTCATACCGAACTCCATCCTTGACAAAACTACTTCATCAGGAGTGGTCACAGGAATGTCTGTCAGGTCTCCCCGAAGCCCACCGATATTCTGCAGGATTTTAGTGCAGTTGTGGATGTGTTCCCTGGGGTCATCTGGGAGAAGAGTAGCTGGGTTGAGAGCGTTTACCTTCATGAAGTTGATTCTTGGCTGATTCATAGCTGGGCCTGGCACTGCATAACTCGGGCATTTGTTAGCCACCTTGCAGGAGTAGCTCTTATCAGGCTGCCACCCAGTGTGGCACAGTTACCTGCAGATCTTGTCTCAGAGTTAATCAGCCTCTTTACCAGGATAGCTGTCGCCACTATTGCTCTCAAACAAAATGGCCAGGTGGTTGCCACCGAGCCCAGTCTCTTGGAGAGGTAGGCTACTGGTCTTTTCCAAGGCCCCAAGATCTGGATCAGAACCTGTGGATTGGCAATACCTGTGGATTCTGCCACAAAGAGCTGAAAAGGCTTCTAGAGGTCCAGCAAAGGCCAAGGCTGGAGCTGAAATCAAAGCCTGTTTTAATGTCTTGAAGGCTGCCTGTTTGGTCTGTTCTCATTCCAAGGGCCCTACCTCTCCTGCTGTGCTGGAAGAGTGGTTTAGCATATCTGCACACCCCAAGATCCACAGTCTACAGGAACCCACAGCTCCCAGAAATTCCTTGACCTGCTCCTTGGTCTGAGGTGTCGGTATCCTCAAAATGGCCTCTATCCTGTTTAAGGAGAGCATACGCTTCCCTTTTTCCAGTTGGTAACCTAAATAGGTTGCTTTCTGGGTGCACATTTGGGTCTTGGCAGAAACTGGATACCCCACTTGGCACAGGGTGATGAGGGGGTCCTCTGTGGCCTGCCAACACTTCTCATGTGTCAGGGCTGCCAGCAGCAGGTCATTAACATATTTTATTTTATTTTATTTTGGTGGATCGTGGGGCTTGAACTCTGGGCTTGGGCGCTGTCCCTCAGCTCTCTAGCTCAAGGCGAGTGCTCTACCACTTGAGCTACAGCACCACTTCCTCATTGATGTATTGTAGAATTGCTTCAGGATGTAACTGCCTAAAACTTAACCAGTCCTAGCTCAAGGCATCTTCAAATGAGGTGGGGGAGTTTTTAAAACCTTGTGGCAAGCTGGTCCAAGTCAGTTCTCCAGATAATCTCCCTTCTGGATCTGTCCACTCAAAGGCTTAGCTTACCTTGGCCAGTGGCAGCCCGAAGAAAGCACCCTTTAAATCCAACCCGGTGTAAATGTGCTGTTCTGGAGGTAACATGCCGAGAAGAGAGTAAGGGTTAGGTACGATAGGGTGGATGGTCTCCACCTGCTTGTTTACTCCTCTCAAATCCTGCACAGATTGTCTGTCATTGGTGCCTGGTTTATACACAGGTAGAAGAGAGATATTCCAAGGTGAATGGCAGGGAACAAGAATTCCATTTCCCCCCAGGCATTTAATGTGAGCCACCATCCCCTCCCTTGCCTCTGCTGATATGGGATCTTGTCTCACTCTGACCAGCAGTGCCTGACTGGTAAATTGAGCAGGGATGGGCAGTCAGTCTAGGTGGGTTAGTCTCCGCCCAAACCTCATGAACTTTGTTTTGGAAGTAAGTCAGTAATGGTTGAAGCTCTTTGCTTTCTTCTCCGGGCAGCAACATATATTCTTCTCCAAGGGGACAGGTTACCAGCAGACAAATGATAATTTCACATCTTCCTCTTGGAAAGAAATTGTGGCTTTTATTCAATAAGTCTCGTCCCAGGAGTGGATAAGGACATGTGGGATGATGAGAAAGGAGT